AAGTATTGCCTATTGGCGAGGGCTGCTCTAACTGAAGAAAAAGAAAACATTACCATAAGCCTCAAAGTTCCTCTGACTGTGCCTTCTCTCCATAGGCAATAAAAAAGGCCCAAAATAAGCAGCCATAACAAGTAAACGACTCTAAAAGCAAAACCCTCAAGCTCCATCAAAGTGAATGCAGTTGGCTGGGAAATGCAACAGTTACCCTTATTTGTCAAATGTCTGCCCATGTTTACTGCAACTGCAAAGTGCTCCGACATTCATTTTCTTCCACATGGTGGGGGAGTTTGGTAGCTCTAATCCTGTTCATCCAGATGGCCTGTCAGGTTTTATAGGCATTCCTTAAAAATTGAAGCAACCTAATCCTGGTTCAGATAATTTAAAAGAGATTTCTGCAAAACTGCATTGTTCTTTAAAGCTAGCAGGCAATAATTCACGGCTCTGACAAGAGGACTGGTTTCCTCTCTTGCCACCAATTTCATAGATCCATTCCTTGCTCGGTGTTGATACAGGCTGTTCTGCAGTTACTTGTGTATCTCCTCTTTCACTTGATGCTATTTTACTTGCAGCTGATATTGAAATGCAGATCCCACCGGAATTATTACCGGTACCTTATTGCACAGCTGGCTACCCCGATGGCAGCAAGAGCTCAATGAAAGGGATGCCACACCATTCTCAAACCATTTCAGGTTCATGCTCCAACATAAACCAGAGCCAACTTCGTCACAACTTTGTTATGAGTTGCAATAGCAGCTTTCATGAGAAAAACTGAACAGACAACTAGAATTGGTTACGCACAACTGCCAGACCTGCTACGTGCAAGTCAACACCCTGTGAAATACAGCCTGAGCTTGTCACCAGAACTGAAGGTCAGGTTTTAATTGTAGCTGTCACCAAAATATTGTTTCCAGAGTGAGATGTTTGGGGCTGCAGCTACACATCTTGTCAGCTTAATGTCAAATGACACCTATGTAACTGCTGCTGCCCCCTGTAACTTCCAACTGCATTTTCACTGCCCATCTATTGACTTTATCAATGACAAGTGATGAAGCAGCACTCTGCCCAACCTCAAGTTTAAGAGAACTGAAGATAACAGCAAGTGCCATATTTTTGGATGAAGGTATAGCATTTATTGAAAGATTCAAAAGGTTTCATTAGATTAACTAATACAGTAGGAAACAAGCTAGAAAAGCCTCAGGCATTCAAAGCACAGTCGCTTAAGCCAAGCTCAATTCACAGTGTCTGGATCTTTGGGTTTGATTTCCCATTGCTTCAAACATGCACACCATCCTCTTTAAAGAGACAGCGGTGGAGAATATTAACTGCACTTCTGCTTGGACACTGCAACGAAAAAATGTCACGATGTCCATCGCCCACCATCCTGAGCAGCTCACAGGTGCTGAAGCAGCAGCTTCTCAGCACGGGCAAAGCCCCTGTCCCACACCCAGGTCCCAGCACTCTCCCTGCTCTTGGGGCACCATCAGTGCTCAAAGGGATGCTCTGCTGCAGCTTTGGCTTCTGCATCATCCACGCTGCCAGTCCCTGCAGGGCTCCTTTGAAACTGGACTGGAGCACTAAATGGGTCTTGCAGAATTTCAATACACTGAATACATTGTTTAACCCAATGTTCTTTTGAAATGCTATTTGACAACCAGAGAGGGAAAACAAGGAAAGACTTCAATTTTCATGTATTTTATTTACAGGCCGCACAATACATTTTATATACAAATGGCTTAAAATAACAAAGAGTAAGCAAGCTGAAGCATAACAATTTATTTTAAATTAAGTTGTCTCGAAATAACTCCTGCAATAAAGTTTCTTCACCCTGATAAGCAAGTCAATTTGATTTTAAGTCAACCCAAGGTAATTTTATTTTTAAAGATAGAATTCAAATAAATTTTCTGGTGATTCCTTAGTTTCATTACACACTTCTGCAAATACAGAACATTCCAAAATTCTCAAGAAGGGTAATAGCTAAAATTTCCTCATGTAAAAAACACTGTAACAGAACAGACTGGAGAAATGTTGTATATAAAACACTTGCATGTTTTATTAATGAAAAGAAGAATGCAAGTAGTACATCTGACATTTTTCTCTCTCAGAAACAGAATTCGTGGTCTAAGACCTAATTTGCCTGCAGGCAAGAGGTATCCTGTGTTACTTCAATACTTCAGTTTTTACCACACAATTATCTATTAAACTCATCCAACTGTAAACTTCACCAAAACTGAAACTACCTCCACCAAAACTGAAAGCAAAAGGAGAAGAGTGCTCAAAACCGTTAAGAACTTACAACATGGCACTTACTGCCTCTGCTTTTAGAAAGCACCTTACACTATTATGGGATGGAGGAAACTTAAGAGAGACCACGTTTTATGGAAATGTAAGAAAATATAGAAGTTTGCCATTTAAAAATTATTTTTCCAAAAAAGTGTATTAACATTTAAGGATACATGTATTTTTATATCTCTTCCCTAGCACTGCTCATTCTGTTCAGGATAACAACTAGGAATCAATAAAAGTGGTTTCCTTTTCCTTTGGCTGTATTTAAGCATTGTAATAGTCTAAGTGTTTTAAGTCATGGTCATAAGCAGTCCAGTTCGTGCTCACTTTCTTTCTCTTGGTATGGCTAAAGACCATTTAATATAAATTATGAAGTACTTGCTATTGGATAGTGCATTATTACAGTATTTCGGTATGTTTATTTAGAAATACAAACACACAACACTTACTTTTCAATGTAGTATCCAGGTCTCTGTAGCTCACTTTGGAATTGCAGCATAGAAAACATAAACCCAAAGGAATGAGGGAGAAAGTAATAAAAGCCACGGCTCCACAGAAAAATAATGCTGTTTTCAAAATGTCTACTACTGCATCAAAAATGCAAGAGCCACATGGTGTAAAATGCCAAACTATTACAGACTCTCTGCTGAGTGGAGTTCATGCATAAGGGTAAAATGCTGCCGTAAGCACCTCATCATATGATTTAATTCCAAAGAAATGCTGACAGGTAATACACAGGTTCAGTACAAATGAATGTGGACCTACTGTCCTTAGATCCAGGAAGTTCCCTGGCTGCTAAGCTGCCCAGATACAATTCCAGGCCAGTGGAGAGTGGCTGCAGGCACCAATCCTCCTGCTGCACACTCAAGGGCAGAGCTCCTCACCTGCACCCGCCTCCACCAGCCCAGGAGGAAATGTGTCAGCAAAAGAGCCAAGAATTTTCCGTGGGTTGAGAAGTCAATTTTTTCAGAGTTATCACATATGGAAATACATTAACTTTCCCTCCAAATTATCCCAACACTGTTGTCCCAGGCAAATACAGTATTCAAAGTCACAGGCTAGTAACCCTTAAGCTGGGGAAAAGTCATTGTACAGTATTCATCTGCTACAGCATGCCAGTTTTGTTTCTGATTCATCTGGAAGTCAATTGTTTATTGCACCTCCTCTCCTCACAGTCAGGATTACTTGTGCTGGGGCTGTTGGGGTCTTTTCATGACCAAAGACTGAAATCTATTTTGGTAGAACAATGTCTGAGAGTACTGCCAGCCCATGAGGAAACTGCACACTCATTTACAGATGCAGAGGGGACCGACTTCTCTGCATTGAATAAAGCTAACTAAATGACTTGAAAATTTATGTCCTTGTATTTTTGTATTGGAAGTCAATTAATTTATTTCTCTGAGAACTACTTGGCATTTGAACTTACCTGTGTTTTTAGCCAACTATTGCCTGCAGTTACACTTAAGTGCAGGTGAGTAACCCCAGACCACACATCTTTAGTGAAAGTAAGTGCATATAAGGTTTGAAAGTCTCTTGCTTGATTCTAGAAAAAAAAATACAAAAAAAAAAAAAGCAATCTGTGTGTGTATTTGTGGGTCTGGGTTTTTTAAAGATTAGTAAACAAAGAGCCTTCACTGTCCATATTTAAATGACACTAATGATTTTTATCTTTAAAATTTTACTAGCAGAAAAAACGCTATGGGGATGTCCTTACTCAAGGAAAAAACAGTCCAGTGCACTGTCATTCTTAAGCACAGGCTATTCAGGTTGTAAGTATTTGTTTCTGACCTGGCCACTTCTATTTTCAGATAGCAGGATTTTCTACTGTGTCTAATGAAGGCAACTGCCAGACTTGGAGACAGCATAAGCAGCAGGACTCTCCATTCCTCATCTGCCAGATCCTCAAACACTACACAGTTAGCAAAGGGAATTTCTCCATGCTCTACAGTGTGGGAATCAGCCATATAGGAATCATTTTCAATTAAAGGATTTTTAACTAAAACAAAGCACCAACAGCTGTGGCTTCTATTCTGAAAATCCAAAAAGTCATTGACAAGACATTTGTAATAGTGTAAGTAGAAATTTTACTTTTTAAAAAGTAGTATTTAAACACTCAGTTACATAAGGTACCGATTTGTCAACTGGATAATCAGTTGGAAATTTGTTTCCAATATGGGCTTCAAGACATGCTTTTACGTACAGGCAAAATATAACCATACCTCCTCTCTGCAGGAGAGAGACCACTTGTTGTCAGAGGAAAAGAAAAAAAAAAAAAACCCAAGCAAAACAAAACAAACAAAAAAACAAACAAAGAAAAAAAATAAAAAACCAACCAACAAAAACATGCTGAAAGTCATAATTAGTATGAGGGTGGCTCTTGGTAAGAGTTTTAACTATAATAATTTTAGTTGTTCCGAGACACTCAATTCCAATATTAAAATGTTCTGTGGAATAGCAGTTATAAAATCAAGTAATTGGCACAATCACAAGTTTACAGCAAATTACAACTAGTGTCAAACATTTTGCCATTGCTTTAAATACTGGTCTTTTTTCCTTTGGTTACTTCCTACAATGCAGTACTTGGGGTAAAAAGACAAACAGTGTCAGCTTTTCACACAAAGTAAAGAAATTACTGCTGTTGACATTTAAGAGAAAAAAAACTATCACTTGGTAAGGACATACAAAGTATAGTTTATTTGGCAGAGGAACTAAAACACTTACTACAACTCCAACAGGGAGCTGAGGAAAAAACTACACTCTTCATTCTTCTCCTCACTTTCAACGTTTCTCATGAAGTTCAATTTGGAAATTACAATTTTATGTAGGTAAGATCAGGTCTCTAAGTAACTGGCCCATGTGAAGTAAACACCACAATATTCACCTGTTTGAGTTTCTTATTATTATCTGAATTCTCTTGTTAATTACCTAGGTTTAGGTGTTATGTTCATAGCAACCTACGAAGTACTTCCAAATTTTTGCAGACCTTAAGCTTACATGTTAAGGCACTTACCATTCAAGTAAAACAGTTTTTATATAAACAAGTGTGGGAGATGGAGAGAACATTTTACCAGAACACCCATTCTTTTTTTTCTTAAAAGAAAAAAAAAAAAAACGTTGACCAAATATTTATAAAATTTTGCATCAAGAGAAAGGTTGTGTTTTATTATCTGAAATGAGCACAAAGTACACCTTCCACAATAACACTGAAAGCAGTGCAAAGACTGACAGTGACCTTTGACTAAAGGTAGTTCTGTAAAAAGAAAAATACCAAATAAATCAGTGCCCTGCTTTGATTGTTGTAAAATTTCTTTTTTTACATAAAACTTGGTCCAAACTTACAAAAAAAGCACAAATGTGCATAGTTCAGAAGATCTGAAAGAGTGCCATAAAAAGCTGATGTCCCTAAATTTAGCATCCACTTAAAACTGCCAAAATACAAAATAAAAGTCAGAACTAGAGTTTGTGAACATGTACAATCAAGTCATCTAGTTTTTAGACAGCATGAGTTGTAAGCATTTTTTAATTTTTCCTACTGTATGCAAGACCCTTTTCCACATAAAAATAAAGCTGTTGAATTAACATTATTCAAGTCTGTTGAATTGCTGCTTTAAATTGCAGCTGGGGGGGGGAAGTTTTTCCAGATAAAAATGATGTGCCTGAGGAAAAACAGATACTCAATATGGTAATCCTCTGCCTCGCCCTCTCACTGCAGATGTGCTAATGTGTCCCCTGTATCCTTGGGAATAGCCAGGTCCTTGGGCAGGAGAAGTCCAAGTCTGTCCATGCATGTGGCTGATGCCAGTGGGATTTTCCTGTAAATTACTTCCATAGCTATAGTTGTGCATCTTTGTGGGCAAAGAGTGCGTGCTCTCTGGCCCTGTGGAAGCATCACTGCTGCTCCCCAAAACCGGGATCGGGCCATGGCTGTATTCAAACCTATGGTCTTTATCTCCACTGAACAGCATGGGGCCAGCATTGAGGTAAATGTCTCCGTAACCAGTTACTGAGCTGGGAAAGGATTCTGGAAAGGCCGATGGAGGAGGGGCAGCACCAGAGTGAGATGAAGCAGTACTGTAGTTATCCAAGGACTGAATATCTGAGTTTCCAAGGAAACTCCTCCTTTCTAATACTCCTGATGATCCGCTTCCTATTCCATCGCTAGTGCTGTAACAGGCAGATGAGAAGGACGATGAGCCAAAGTTATCCTTGTAGTCCGGGCCTGTTACATAGGAGTCCCTAGCCTGATAATCCACACCCGTGGGTACTGGCTCCTCCGTTGTCGCCTGAGCTTGATGCTGAGCCAGCAGCTGCAGAAGAGCTGCTTTCACTCCTGCGTGAGGATCTGCTCCTGAAGAGTTACTTATAGGCAAATGCTGATTCTCTGTCCGATAATCAAGGTCTTCATCAGTGAGCGGCGGAGGCTCCGGTGGCTCGGGGGGACGCTGGTCTGGAGGCAAGATCCGAGGGCGCTCCTGCTCAGGTGTTCGGTTCAGAAGCCTCATCTCAGACTGCCTAACTAAATCCTCTTGACCTAAGAAGATGAAAAAGAAAAGCTCTGGAATAAAAGTATACAAATAACAGGACCAGAAAGAAAAGGACTCCTTCCTGGAAAAACATGCAGAGGTTTGTTAACTTCAACTCTCATTAATTTGTTAGCTAAATTTACCAGTAAGTATATTGATTATTTTGGACAAAATTTGGCAACAGCTCATTTGCCTCAGGAGCATGATGCAAGTTACTTCTCAAAGTAAGATTACCAGGCAATCAATTAAAGAAAAACAACACAAGCTCCTTAAAAAACAAAACAGCAACACAAAAAAAACATTAAAAATTCAAAGAAGGATCAAGAAAGATTCACAGATAAGGATAGAAGTCTTATGGGACAAAAGGCCACCCTATCAAAGAACAACACTACTCAAGGTTTATTTTAAACATGAACAAAAAAAGCACACCTCTCAAAAAAAAAAAAAAACCAAACTCCTCCAAGAACAGCCCCCAAAGCACTTCAGAATACAGAATATTTCTTTCAACAGTTGCAAACACCACAAAACAACACATGAACCACCATAATAAATTGAATTTGCAACCCAAAAAAGATGAATATATGAAAAGATGAAACTGTGGGAAGACTATGGAAGCCAATCCTATACCTCAGTGGAAACCTTTAGCCATGTGTGTGACAGTTACAGGTAACCACTGAATTTGACACTAAGGAACTGCTCTAGTCAGCATTAAACTCCAAATAAAATACTGTCTCACCAAAATAAGCTTCACCTAAACAGTCAAAACTGGCAAATTACATCTATGCATCTGCTACAAAAGACTGTCTTCACCACTAAGAACACCCCAACCCCCAGAATAATGATCAATGTTTCATCACCAATACTTGCATACCTCTTAGGCTGGGAATCATTGTTTGCTCTGTCTCTGCATGGCACCTGTTAGACTAAGAGACAAGTTCTCTGATCCAGACGTAAAATGTGACCAAATCAATGTAACCTCCTATACTCACACAGATTTATATGGCAAACATGGTAATTCTCTACTCCCAAATTATTACATCTCTAGTGCTCCAGGCATTTGCTGGTTAGCAATAAAGGCATTCAGTACCTGCAGACATGTATAATGACTTGATCAGATGTGGGTAGCCAGGTGCTGGAGATTCCACGTCATCTCGGCTGACAGACACGGGAGTGGCGGGCTCTGGAGGCTGTCTGAGTTGTAATGACATTTCATTTCCTGATCCATTTTCCTTCTCCTCCAACACAAAATCTTTTTGTTTTGTTTGCTGAGCCTTTATTAACTGAGACAGCAGAACAGCAAATGCACTCTGCACAGCTGCCTGGGCAGCATCAGTCTCAACTTTAGGCTGACCCAGCTGAGCAGGTGGCACAGGGGGCACAGGGGGCACAGGGGGCTGAGTCACCATCGGCTGTTTCAGAGGCTCCTGCTCTGGAGGTGGTGGAGGAGGCGGCGGTGGCTGCTGCTGCTGCTGCTGTTCTGACTGTTTTTCACCTGCTGACAAAATTCCAGCAGGAAGATTTATTTTATTTAGTTGCTGCTGAGTCTCTGGGTTTACCTTAATATTCAATACTTGGGCAAACTGTGCCAAACTAACACTTGTTTTAGACTGTAGCAGGTTTAGCAGGATTGCCACTTCATTCTGGTTTAACTGCTGTCCAGTGCTTGTTTTTGCTAAAGACAAAAAAGGTGTTTTTAAGTATTATTTAGAACTGGCATATTTCAGAAACTCAAAAGAAGACTAATCTAGCATGGCTGACACAACTGGCAAAGCATAGGTTTGGACAACACAGAAATGGAATGCTTTCACCTATTAACTGTCTTTGGAGAGTATCTATAGGAAATGGAACAGTAAGATCCAATATAACCAAAGTGACTTTCACAAGGTGCACACATGCACTTGGACAGATGGAAAAGCACCGAGCTAGAGCTCAATTTTCCACAATATAACTAAGTTGGGGCTTAAGGCCACCTGCTTTAGGCAGCTGTAAGACTTCCAATTCCCATAAAATTTCCTATCTTTGACATATCACAATCCTTTGTTAAAAAGTAGCCATCTGCAAAATCAATTTCCAGTCATATTCCAGGCCATTCTAATTCAGCATCTGGGTTGTAACACCTGCCCAAGTGACCTGGCTCTAGGTGGCCTAGGAGATCACAGTATAAATGCAAAAGGAAGTGCTGACTTTGACGGACAAGAAGTCAATCACTCAGTAGCAGGAAATGTGTGGTAATATACAGTTAATTTAATTAAATGGATTTTGCCACAAATAAGAGCAAATTATGATGATGCAGGGGAATATGAATAAGGAAGTTTGAATATCAAAAGTAGTTTCTCAGCTTCAAACACCCATTGTGGTGATTTATTTTGAAAAAAGTGAAGCAGCATGGATTGCAACATGCCCTATGAGCAAATGACTTAGAAAAGAAAGCAGTTAAAAATCAGAAAATGGAGTGTGTGAGCAGGAAGGCCGAGTTCTGAATTTTTCTTAACCTAGGTCAGCACAAACATATTCAGTCCTCTTCTATCCTTGCCACTATGCTATCTTACCAATATATTAATTCATAGCAGATTAGAAGCCACGCATGACACACAAAAATATTAAGTATTTCCCTTGCAAAATTTAAGAGCAGCACAGCTGGAAAGTGCTGCAAAACTCACAACCCACAACTCTACTTGTAGATGTGCACCAAGATACAGGCACTTGGAATCTACTTAAGCAGGATCTAGGGACTTCAAAATTTTTATGTATCTATATGAATATAATCGACCTTCTATTCAGCAATATAAAAAAAAACCACAATTTTTTATGCCTTTTACTGCTGACTCTCACGTAGATGTTGTGATTAACAGAAGATTTTGTCACATCTGAGGATGGTATACCCAACATTAAAACTTCTCTCAGACTCAGTGAAAATTAATCAGAAAAATGCCAAATAGGGAAACCTATTCATTACTCTTTGGTTAGCTTTAAGCTCATTCTAACAGGAAACTCTATTCTGGGAAATATGTCATAACAAAATTATTGAGCTCTGAACAGCTCCTGTTAAACTGCAAAAAACAATAACCAGGGGTCTCATTCAAGAATCAGAACATCAGCAATTGAGACCATGTCTTTTTAACCTCTCCTTTTGAGGTGCTTAGAAACAAATGCAAGCATTTTGGCTACAGCATGCATTTGGTCATGGAGTTATATAATGTCTTATTAACAATATTATCTAAGGTGCATTACAGCTTCCAGAAGTATTTTATTTAATACAGGAAACGCCTCTATGCTCTACTGAAAATTAACTTGTCTTCTTTGCTATCTAGACGTATTTTTCTGTGTACATATGGGTAAACAGCAATATAAGCCTGACTGATTCTATTTGTTTAGGTTTTTTTGCATAGTCAGTATTAATGACTAACTAACTAATGAGTAGTCTCTCATCAGGATGTTATGTTATAAAAGCACAAAGAAGATAACTATCCTTTGGACTCTTTAACTAGTATCGTTTCATTGATGGGAGAAAAAGTTACAGAAAGTCATTCTTGAAAATGCTGCCGAAACTTTAGCCTCAACATATGGATTAACAGAAACTCACAGCTGGTTTGCACAGTGAGAAACCAGATGAATGGAGCAAGAGGCAATAAATTGCAGTAAAATATGATCAAAATAACTATTTTCAGTGTATCTTTGCACAGAATGTTTAGAGCTCTGCTCTACTGTTAATTTAAGGGTGGATTCAAGATGGTTAGTATTATAGAACTGTCAGCTGCTAAGAATGCATAAACTGTTTTTAGGTGAACTACTCTATCAGTGTCATAGGACTTATGGTTACTTTGCACAATCAAAAATGGTCTTACATTTAACTTACAGGTATCCATTTGGTGTTGTTTCTCTTTGTATTTCTACATATTTTGTAAGAACTATCACTTAACTGCTGAGAATCTCAAATGGTCTCCATACTAGAACCATTACATTTTTTATTATATTTGTAAAACTTGTCTCAAGCAAAATTCTTTGGTTAAGTTACAGAATCACTGGCAGTGCAACACAGAGGTAGATACTTCATGTCACACCAGCTTCTGGGGAGGGGGTAGTTTTGGTGTTTGGTTTTGTTTTTTTTTTTTTACAACTTGATTTAGCCCCAGCACCTGGAAAGCTAAAGACTAACATAACATGCAGATGGAATCTGCTCCATCTGAAATAACAATTGTTCTAAACTCTGCCTTCTGACCAGTTTGTTAATACCAATAAAGCTTATCCAATCTACAGAGGCTGTGAGAAACTTTCAACAGCCACTGGCTTTTAGAATTACCAAAGAATTAGAGATGAGCAAGAGATAAAATTCCCTTGAAATACAGAGCAAGCAACTTAGTTGCTCTGACCAGGCTGAAGAGTTAGGTAAAACTGGAAAGGAACATTTATGTTTCCAAAAGCAAAGGCAAATCTTTTATAACAAAGATTAAACTTACAATAATGTTCCTCCCTCAAGAATTCAGGAGAAGTCAATACTCTGCAAATAACATGTAAAATTTCTAGAGGTGCAATCCAAGTAAGTAGGTAATTTTAAGAACTGAAAATATTACTGACCAAGTGCTACACTAGAGCTGCCCTGAGTTTTGAGTTGGGAAGAAGTTTGCATGCCTTGTGGGGTGTTGGTTCTGCTCTCATCCATGCCTAGAGACAGATCTTTCCTAGGGACTTTAGCTGCTGTAGAGTCATCAGTCATGCCCATCTGCTTCTGTCTTCTGCGTTTCTTACTCCACAGCTCATGGCAATCCTGCCACAAAGGAAGGCTGCAAAGAATGATTGGAGATAATCAGTTTTATCCCTATTTTTAATTTTTTTTTAAATCATACTGGTAAAAACACTTAAGTTATACATAATGAAACTTTTGAAAGGTGAGCCTACTGGAACTTGGAAATACATCACAAAACATTCAAAAGCCAGCAAAATCTCAGACCTGCTTTTTCTGGCTGGAAACTCTTTACTGAGTGCCTCTTTCAGAAGCACAAGTCCTCCTGGCAGAAAAGGGGAAAAAGTATCTTAAAAGGAGAATTATTCTCCTAATTATTTGTGTAATTCAAAACTTCAAAATCAATGCTGCACGGTTGCTATGAAATACAACTTGCATACTACCAGACAACTAAATTATCAGTATAAAATCTTTTTCTTCAGGGTCCTTCTGTCTGCTTATAAAGCTATTGCTGAATCATTAGGTCACATGTTTGTGCACATTAACAGACACAGCTATCTAGTATCTATAGTGCACAGCTCAGGCAACCAAGAAAGTGGGGGGGAAGGAAAAAGTTGCAGAAATAAGTTGCATGAATAAATATCACTTGATACTAGCAAAGCTGGGATACCAGGAAGAACATGGGGATATCCTTTAAGACATATGAATGCAGAGGCAAACTCTCCTAAGAAACTTATCTGCCACCAATTCTGTCCTTCCATTACAGCTCCCTGCAGGCATCTCAATTTCTGATTTCCTGAGGAACACAAAGACCCAAAGAAATACTGAGATGGGTAGTGAAAATAGTAGTTTATGTTTTCCTATTAAGAAGACGTATAAACTGTCTTAGCAATTTTGCCACCCAGGAACATGGAAAAATTAGCTGATACATGACAAGAGACACTGGAAAGGCAATTATGAGAACTGTTTCCTTTATTCTTTCCCTCCACCTGCCAAGTATTTTCTGAAAAACAACTGGAAGCAAGAACTCATTGTGAGAAGTATCCTATGATCCTTCCAATCAGCATGTCCCTTTCTTTGGATGAACAGCTGCTCCTTCCCAAAACAGAACTTCAGCCTCTCAAGAGAACAGTTGACACTTTCCTGTGCTGTGCCAGAAGTGAGTGTGGTTCTTCCTAATTTTTAAAAGGATACCAGTGACTAGTTTGTTATGAATTTCCATATATCAGCTTCTAGAATGGATGCATTACCACATCCCTGAAGAAAAGATGATCTTCCCATTCACTTACTTTAAAATGCACATAAGCAACATGCTGTACAAGTGTTTCTGAAACTTCAGTAAACAGCTTGAGATTGCTGATTAGTGATTTTCACACAGAGAGAGATAGAGGCATACTCAGGCAATGAAACCTCTTTGGCTCATGTTTCAGGAATATTAGTAACGTTTGCCCAGAGGGGTTGTGGAGTCTCCCTCACTGGAGATACTCAAAAACCATCTGGATACAATCCTGTGCTATGTGCTCTGGGATGACACCGCTTCAGTGCAGAGGCTGGACCACCGTGGTCCTTGCCCACCTCACCCATTCTGTATAACAACCCTGTGTATGTAACAGCTAAGTCTAGAAAGAATTTAAATAAAAATCCTTAGATAAAAAGATCCTTAGATAGAATGTCAGTACAGGCTGCCTTGAAAGTTCAGTTTACTCAAACAATATCATAGATTCTATGTTCTGACGGCTATATTGAGGAAAGAATGAGACCTGTAGGTTCTCTAGTACCTTTTCATTGTTTTCCTCAGGGCATGCTCCAATATTGCAGTCATTTCAGTCTGTACAAGCAAAGTCACTGCAAAAATTCTACAGGACATTGCAATACATTTCCTATAGAGAAACTGACAAGAACAACCCTGCACAATTTCACTTTTCCTGCCTATAAAACCAAGGCTCTCATCTGGCTCCTGAAACAATTTACTGTATTTCACTTTAAACTCCGGTATCTCTGCAGAACTCTATACCCAGTGTCATCCTATCATCAAAGAAAGCAATTCAGATTCATTGAGGACCTCAAAATCCCTGGAAAAAGTAGACACTGATAAACCAAGATAAAAGGGAAATTATGCTTTATAAATATTAGAAACATTCACAGAAGAGTATTTTCTTTAAAAGTAGTAACTCAGAAAGAACAAATCAACTCTGTTATCTCTTACATAGAACCTCTTAGTTACACAAGCATTTTACTGCAGAATCACCTTTTAAAAATTGTATGTGTCAACATTTCTGCCACCATCTCCTTTACTGAACCACAATGAACTTATTGAAACCAGTGCATGCTCACAGTTCCTAGAGGTCAGTATCACTACCAATGGAAATTACTTACTCTGGAGGAGGCATTTTAGATGGTTCCACATCTCGCAGGAACTCACACTGAAGAGCTTGTTCAGCTGTGCAGCGCTTGCTGGGATCCAGGGCAAGCATATAATCGAATAAATCTAATGCAGCTGGTGGGATGCTACAAAAGTGCAGAACAGAGGAAAGCGTCACGTCTTTATTTTGTATCACACACGTCTGTACAAAATTTTAATAAACACATCCCTTCCAAGATGATGATTAATTCCTCAGGTAACTGATATACTAACAAAACACACCCATAACTTGAGCTTGATAGTAAGAGGCAGAAATAAACTTCACCTTTTACTACCTGTACTGTTATATAACCCAAGCTTTCTTCACCTTGTGTTGTTTCATTGCTTGAAACCTTGTCGTTGCAAAAAAACACACCCACATTTTAAAGCCAACACTATCTTGTTACTTTATGTGTTGGAATTTACCACCAAGGCGTTGGAGTTTTGATTGATTCACAAACAATTCTACTGCTTCAAAGATATTAGTTGCATTATTATGAACAGGATGATGCATTTCTCTTGAAACCCACTGTACCTGAAGGAGGGGGAACAACCCCTTTAAAATAACCTTACATCTGTTTTCCATATTTTATTTGTGATATATGCACAAATCTAGTCCAGTGGTAGTACTTCAGAACATACAGTTCAGGTAACTACTCTGTGTTGAATGAGTTTTGAGTTTATGACCCAAAAGACTGTAATGTTAACCAGACTACACATTTAGCTGTAGCCAGTTTTACCAATAAAAAATAATTAAGTACTCTGAGCTGTTTTTTGGACAGAGCAACAAGCAGGTGTACCAAACAAATGTTTCCTTGGGTGAAAGCTGACAGGTGGTTGAAATTTTAAGGCCTTCTTTCCTCTTCTTGACACTCCTACTAAATAAAGGTTAATACAAGCTCTGTGGGTATCACGGGAAGGACAAGAACCTAAAGCCATTTTTCTTTACACTTGATCTAAGCTAGTTCTACAGAAAACACTGAAGTTCATAAAGTCTCTGGGAAAACTTTATGCTATTACAGTTGACTAAACTAATTCTTCATCCTTACAAAGAAAACTCTTCTCTCAGTTTTCGACGATACTGCTTCTTTGGTTTCATTGTGTTGAAGTAAGCTAATTTTATAACATCAGGCCACACTGCTGGACAAGGACTTCCACAAATTCGGCTGTACCAAAAAGAAGGGAAAAAAGGGTATGAGATCCAAAACCACAAGTAAGCACAGCTGTCATTTTTATTCTTGTAAATACAGTGAAAACAAAAAAAAAAAACCTTCAAATTTCATGTTCAGGTTATTTTTAGCTAAAATTTCTCCATTGTCAAATGTCTAACACCATTAAATAATGGTGAATTGTCTACAAAGGGTAATCTCCCCACACAGACTAAACTTACTGTTTCTGCCTCAGTCCAGCCCACATATCCTCTACACAAATGTTTTGAAAAACTTAGCCAACTACATCTGAAAAGTACTCCAGGCATCTGACTAAAAGAACTGGATAGCCCACATTTAGAGTAACTTTTATGTCCTTAGCTCCCAACACCACTGAAGAAAGATATATCAAATAGCTGAAAAGGCACTTTTCACTGAGAATTTATTGAATGCTGAAGACATAAGGGGAAAAAACCCAAACAATTCACTAAGTCCTAAAGGCAGAAACCACTAGAAAACTTCTGTATTTTTTACTTTAATTATGAGTTTTGTCTCAAACCTCATCTACATCCACAGAGCTGCCCATACTTTTATGCCTCACATTCCATCCCCATCCTTTTTTCCAACCAAGGATGGCTAAGCAGAAGTTGATCAACACCACACTTGTGAGGAGGAGAACTAATAAGGTATTTCCATATATGCACGGTTTCAAATTCTTATGCAGGCAGTCATAAAAGGACATTTTGCAAATACATTTCCCTAGTTCAGCCTTCCTTTTTATAAGATTTAAATGATTAGTGTTAGAGACCTAATGATCTATTCATTATGCCCCAGGTGCTATGCAATTCAATCTGACTTTATGCTGGTTGGGGCATGTAATTTTCAGAAGGGATAAATAAAAATAATAAATCTCTTACTATCAGAACATACTTCAGCTCTTTCTTTGATTATGTTTGAAAAGATAAATGTAGAATTGTTGGCTGCAACATGATCACAGCAGAGATGTTGATAAAACTGATACATTATGTTCAAACAGCAAAAAATGCATAGCATCACTGAAGATGAGATATGAGCTACAAACAGAAGCTTCCAGCAGAAGGACATCACGAAGTTTTATAGTTTTGTACCAGAGGTAAAACACAAAGAAAGAAAAACTTTGAATTACTCATTCTCATGTGCTTCAATGCCATCTAGTGCTCAAAACCAAAAATTCCTAAACTCATGAGTTTAATTCTTCTTATGCCAAAAATGACCACTGATCTGCTTTGCACCTCCTAAAATCTTCATTTTTTTCAGGCCAGCTTCAGGCCAACACATTACACAGAAACATGTTACTTTTCAATCTATTTAGAAAAACATCAATATATAACTTTGTAATATTTTTTAAGTTAATTTGACCATTTACTGTTCACTTTCTGTACGTTCTATAGGACTCATCCTCTTTTCCCCTTGTTTCTAGGAAGAGCACCACTCCTCACTTACAATGTCAATTATGATATCAAGAGCAAATTTTGCCTGCTGAATAAAGGGAAAGAAGAAGATGCTCTGGTTCCACTGAATTAAATACTTATCATTCTATGACTTATTGAGAACAAGGAAAGAAACAGAATTTTTATCTCCACCAAAAGTCTGGCAATTTGCAAGGAAACAGAAATATTCCTGCCAAAATAATAAAGCCCAGGTGTGTACATGGTAGGCTTAAAACAAGAATTCATGGCCAGCAGCATGCCAAATACCTGTTCCTCCCAAATCCCACTTTCCTTATTATTGTCCATGTTCTCATTTTGATTTGATGCAAGCAAGTTGCAACATCATCTTAAGAATTATAGACATTTTGATTATTCTCTCTTTACAATTTCAGGCAACTCCAGCTACTCTACAAAAACCCATCTTATTCATCAACTGTACACTGCTAGGAACACGGAGCACTCACAAAAAAACCTTCATGTCTCTGCCAAAGTCACTTGTGTTACATGCCCCTCAAAACCTCTAACATCACACTCGGGGCAGTAACTGAGCACTTGCAAGTATTTGCAGTGCATTATCTCAGATTTTAACACTAAGTAAAGAAACCTGTCAGTTTATGAGGCACCTACTACGTAGCAGTGCTTGTCGGTTACCTTATGAGTTCCAGTTGAGCAAGTTCTTGATTTGCTTGAAATATTGGTTTTTTCGTAAAAAGTTCACCCAGGATACAGCTGTAAAACAGTTATGCAAAATTCCATCATTATGGCTTTCAATACAGATTGATAGGAACTTTAAGATTTATTTTTGGTTTGTTTTTATCCTTGCTATGCTTCTACCCAAACTCTTACCCACAGCTCCAGACATCGATGGCTGGTGTGTATCTTTCTTCCCCAAGGAGAAGTTCAGGAGGCCGATACCATAATGTAATAACTTTGTTGGTATATGGTCGGCTGTTGAAAGATGGAAAAAGAGAGGACTGTCATTTTAGTACAATCACACTTCTGAAAAAATATTACCTTAAGGACTTTGTACTGTTCTTAAACTGCATCACAGAAGTAATCTTCACTCTCTTTTAACTTTAGTCCTGCAAAGCTGTAACTGCACAAAAGCAAACACAATTGCCTGATGAAGGCTGCAAAAAGTCAGACTGAAGATATACATAATAATCACACAGCCACCTTGATGCTATGAGAATTCTGTATCTCCATTATTATTCAGAAAACAACACTGTATATTTATTACATTGCTAGTCATTTCAGGAGCAGGACCTGCTTAGATAAAACCAGTAACTTCCTGGCAACTGTTCATTATAACTATACTGAATACAGGACCTCTACAAGCAGTTTAAAAAGAAGGGAAAAAGTGACTTTTCCTCTTTAAGTATGAGCAAAAGAGATAAAAGCCTTTTTCTGGAAGTACACTATTCACAAATTTTGATTCCAAAGCCTGGAATGCTTCCACCATCTTCCTATATTTCACAACATTTTTAACTCTCCACAGCTCTAATCTTGAATTTTGGTCAAACCCACTAAAGCAAAGATTTCTACTAACACAGACACTTTTTTTTTGGGCACAGGCTGAACTACACCATCAACAGTTCAGAATGGAAAGCAGAAAAGAGATGCTCGATTTTGGTACTGTTTCAACCAGGGTGCTTTAAAAGTGATTCCAGTATTCTTTCAGTTTTTCACTATTACCAACACTAGGTAACTCCAAACAGAAAGAATAACATTAAGTGTGAATAGCCATAGAATGAATGCTCTTATAACATTCTCAGTAGTACAGGTATCATTTCTGTAAAATCATCTGAATCCTTCTTTCATTAATGCACATAACTCCAATTCCTTTTTAAAAGGTAGCATGTTTTTGGAAACAATCCCATCATTTATCATATTTATCTCTGAAGCAAACACTCCTCTGTGAAATATTTACATGGTAGGGACTATCTCTACAGATACATTACTCATATGCATTAGTATATGATGGTTTTTATTTGAACAGTTGCCTGGTCATGCAATCTGTCTCCTACTCCAAACACATTAAATCTACCAGAATAACATTTAAAGGAGCACAACTACAACAATCAATCAGAATTTACTTAAATTTTTATTTCCTCCCCATTATGCCCTTACTAAGTTCTGTACCCTTTCAAGCAGCATTAAATTCTAAACAACAGTAAACCAAATGCAAAGTACATGAATTAAAACCAGCAGCTATTATACACTTGTTGATATACATTAATTACATCAGTTACTGCAGGTCAGAAGGAAAATGAATGACAAAAGAACTGCCAAAAATCTACTGAGATTCTAATTATTCTTCCATGTTCAACTGGCAATTCTATTAACTAGCTTAATTAAATCTTAATCTTGGTTTCATTTATGCATAATGGCATAATAACATTGCTGTTTCATGTACAGTAAGATGGGTTATTGGCATTATAAGGACACTGGACCTTTAATCCTTAACAAAATTGAGTTTTATAAAAAAGATTTAATTTAAAAACAGACATTAAAAAAACTCAAGCAAAAACATGGTAAATCAGAGGAAAAAAATCATTAGGCCAGTTTGGTGCATGTTAAAACAAGAAGGTGGGATAACATCCTTTTATTATTAAGTACATCCAAACCAAAAAATAATTAGCTAGCAGATGCTTAAATTATTTCACTTTGCTATTATAGTCAAGTTTCAGTAATTGTACTTAAGCATATTTTGCAGAAATAAGAGTTCTGAGACAACAGCTCAGAAACTAATGCTAACACATTTATCAGTAACCTAAGAGCTGTGTAGAAAACAATAAATGCATAAAGCTAACATTATCGATATTATTTCCCAAATTAGGCATGCAGAAATCAAAGTAAGCTCAAGTATCCAACCACCTTATGTCCATGAGGACATACTGTATAGTGAACATTCAGCCTGGATTTTGAGAATTCAGTTCCACATGACAAATACTACATTACAAAGTAAATATTAAAGTTCTTAACCATAAAAAACTGTGCACCTGTTTCCTGGAGTATGAGCATAATGAAGCCAAGAACAACAGAAGCACAAGTCACAAAGAGTTTCAGAATAACTTTTATTTAAACTTGTATCTGTTTCCAGCAGATTCAACAGCACTGACTGCCTAAAGAATACAATGAACCTCTTGAAATGTAAAGTAAATCTTACACAAAAGTAATGCTTATTGAGTAGGAACTGTATGATACTTTGTGTCAGCAAAAAAAAAAAATTTTGCTTTCCCTAAATAACATTTTTGGTATATCAACAGAAGAAATATACCTCAGATTTACAGGACCAGAAACTTAGGACTGTAATTTAATTTCCAATCAATATATGGCCAGTCTCTACCATTATTTATCCAGAACACCTGGAAAAGCAATACACTCACACAAAGAGACTTTTGTGGTTTTATGCAGTGTAAGACAACATGTATTTCTTGCACTTTCCTAAGCAATTACTTGTATTACAGCACAGTAACATTTCCTCTAAACAAAACAGTCTTCTGTCCTTCATAATAGTTATGCAAAAAGATTAAACTTCTGAATGCTTTTTCACAGTATAATTGTATCTTACCTTTCTTCTGAGTTGTACAGCCGAGCAAGCCCAAAATCTGCGAGCTTTATCTGCCCTCTGGTGGAAAAAGCAAAGAATTATTTAGTGGTTAATCCTATTAAACTTTCTTTCCCCAAAATCAGGTGAAGTTTAAGAGTGAAACAGCTACAACTGATCTTCACCAAACCACATTAATGAAGAGGCAATGCTCTGCTATCTCTGCATCTCTTCAGTAAACTGTATGCTAACTTAGTGAATAGCAAAGACAAGTAAGCAAAATTAGGTATGCTTATCAAATGGCTTTTACATTACTGGATGTTAGTCAAAATTTAGGACTATACCATAAAATATTCCAGTCAGTAACTCTGCAGGAAAAAACTGAGAGAAGAAACTGCTATTTTCTCAGGCCTTACTGCTAGTGGGAGTATTTGCTCAGTAAACAATTATCAGCAGTCATACTTCCTTCTAGGAAGCCATCAAAGTCCTGTTCTGTGCTTGCACCTTTTAAATGCAGCCTTTACATCAGGGTGACTGACCAGATAAAGGCTTCTATTTTTGTCAGCAGCCAACTTGCTGAATGAAACAACCCCCAACCCATTCCTGAGTTTTTCCAAATATGAGGGGAAGAGTAGAAGATACAGAGCTCTTGCCTGGAAGTTCCCTCAGCTAAAAAGCACTGCTCTATGACCAGAAACTCACACTGTTTGTAAAGTCTAGATGATTCAAACAGAAAGCTATCTGCAAGCTTCTCTAATGCACAAAATGAATGTTAGACTGCTTTATGTGGTTTTCCTTTTCTGTACTGATAACTTTTTTAACTCCCTTCGCTTTCGAATACACATTATTTTATCAAATTACGGCAAGATTTGCTACTAGCATGACAATTTTGTGCTAACAACACGTACATGACCATTTTATGATGATAAAATATATAGGTTATAGTTTCCATCCACTCTTCTCCTCAGACTTTTACTCTGGTTTCTTCAAGAATACCCATAAACAAAGAAATGTTCCCCTCAAATTTACATGCTTATTTCTGAGAACGTATTTGTAGAAGATAAATGTATTTGCTCAAAAATTCATTTAAGTTACCTATGTAAAAGATAGATAGGCTGTAGCTGGTAATAGGATTTTTGAAACACTGGTTTAAAATTATTCAGATCTACTATCACGTTTTTCTGCTACTGGTGGAAAAATCTAAGGATGCTCAGACACTATCCTAGGGGGAAAAACCACAACTCTGTAACACGGATTGGAGAGCACAGTAAAATAACAAGCTCCTCCTCTACCATAAGGTATTTTTCTCCACTGTCAGGCTGCACCCAACTTCTGAGTTCCCAAAGTTGCACACAGAAAACACTAACCCTAGAGATTAGCAGGTAATAAGATTAGGTGTGTGGGCACTGTGAGTAATGGGGACAAACATGTACATCTGTTTAAGGATCTGTATCATATTCTGGCAAAGCTGCAGTAGGATACAGAGCTGAGAGCAGTCTAGTGTTAGCTCACTCTAAGGGAAAAAGAAGGAATAATAGAAAACTTAATTTGGAGAAAGCTGGGAGAAAACTAGGCCTATCAAAAGATATCATTAAATACTTGGCAAAATGTATCAATCTCCAACAGCAGCACTAGATTTTTAGTGAGAACATGTGAACCCATTTGGGGCTCATCTTCCTCATACTAACCATGACCCACAATTATTGTGTTAAGGATGCTACAACAGGGATCCCTGTCCATTCCCATTAGCAGGTGTTAATGATCCTATCCTTGAATGTGTCTCATCTTCTTTGAAACTCTTGACTTTACCCAGAGAACTTCCTGTGACAACAAATCCCAGAAGTGACTGCCTGCTCTTTTTTTTAACTATACCCCTTTTTTGCTATTAGAAACCTTGCTCTTATGCTGTTCCCTGGATTTAGTTCTCCAGATTATGATGCACAACAGTTGGTAATGAAGTCATCCACTATCTTCACACTGGCTTTTTATTTGCTGTTGCTGATGCACATTGAAAACATCACGTTTGCTACTACGATTTGTAATTACCACGTGTTAAAGTAGAAAGTAACAAATTATTCTCCCCCTTTGATTATTGTAATAACTGCTAGTTAAGGCATGTTTCAACATGCCTGATCAAATACTCTCTTAAAGCATTATCCTGGTGGTGATGAGGACCTCAGAACTGTCCTGAAGAACCAGCCTAGTCACACTTCAATCTTGAAATAAGATCGCAGAAAGAATACACATCACTTACACAAATACTTACAGAATACACAAACACTTATATCCTACAATTCTGTTTTAATATATTTGAACTCAGATATTTTTCCTCCAGTACTCTGACTTAGCAGGATTAAAATCGAGTCTTTTCTTTTAACATAGATTAAGTTTAATACAGAGCTGCAAGCTCCAGCGCTAAGCAGGAACATTACTGGATTAGTATTTTGCAATTGATTTTAAAGAAACTAAGCAATTTAGAAAATAAGTTTTGCTAATGACTCCAATCAGGTGAACTGTGAAGACTGAAAGAACGATTTAAAGATGTTGTTAACATACAATTTTTGTTATGTACTTTTAAGTAATACCATACCTATTATTTAGTAGAATATTTGAACATTTGATATCTCTGTGCAAAAAGTTCTTCTTGTGGCAATAGGCCAAGCCCTCCATCAGCTGTCTCATGAAAGATTTAATATGATTTTCATTAAAATGAACCAAACCAGATTCCAGCAGTCCCATCAAGTCATGGTCCATATATTCAAATACCAGGTAAAATGCACCTACAAAAGAAAGGGAAAGGGTAGGAGAAACACAGAAAAACTGATTTAACAGCAGTCCAAAGCATTGCTGTTGTCTGCTTTTTAAAATCAGAAGCATTTTTCATAAAACTGCCTAGATTTTCTGCAGTATTTACGGCTGTATCTCATACCCAGTGAAATACAATACAGTAAAAAGTTTTCATAAATTGCTGTTCCAAATAAACAATTATACAAATCAAACATTTGTGAAAAGAAAAATAATATTACCACATGGTATTTCAGTCTAGACAAACATGTGCTCTCCCTACAACTCTAAATCTCCACCCATTTTATTTCAAGAAAAATTAATTGTGTTAATATTACCCATGTAAAGTTTGGAGAGAAATCAAGAAACAAAATATGTACAAGAATTACTGTGCATTATTGTTCATCTGTTGTGACTCAGTGATTAATTTTTTTAAAATATTTCTGTGTAACTGGGTCAGAAATAAGCTTGCCCTTCTCAGACTAAAAAAAAACCTATAAGACAGGATAAAATGAGAAAGCAGAACTAACCTACTAGTAACAGCACCTCTGCAAAGACAGACTTCATATTTTAAGTTGCCACATGAATACCTTAGTCACAAGAGAATCTCACATCAGTCTCTATCATTCTACCAATAAAGCCACTAAAGCCAAGGCTCTTTGATACATATAAGCACTCTTAAAGAGGAAAAGTGTTGAGTGATTCAGAACTAGCAATAACCAATTTCCAAAACAAGCATTACCAGTACAATGTATTTTTTTAGTACTTCATTCTTTCCCTTCTTCACCCCGGGACACAGAACAGTGCAGCCCCTGCAGAGTGAAGGAAGCAAGACAGAGCCACCCAGAATGTGAATTCAAGTGGGCCTGTTTACCTTGCATTCCCAAAACCTCCTTAAATCTACCACTACAGATAGCTTCTGCCCAACAAGAACTCATTATATGTTCTTGTTCCTAAAAACGTTTCAACTCAGAAACTAGTGAAAGTCTTGGAGCAATAATGAGAAGTCAGCTTGACAGAAGCTGTACACATACATGGCCACATTCTAATGAACTGACTCCTTTTCTTGTCTAGTAGCTGGAAAGGGAAAAAAGAATGCTAGGCTCATCTGCTACTCAGGAAGAAGGTTACCATATAGTAAGTGCTAAACTGTAACAACAATCAGTGTATATCAGCTAAAGCACAGGCCATTGCATAAGACATTCAAGAGTTCATTGTTATTGACTTAGGTCCTTTTGTCCGGCAGAGGAAGCAAAACACTCCTCATAAAATACCCCTTCTGCTGCGTACAGAGAGGGTGAAACAGGAGGTGAATCAAGCAGGTACAACACAATCCCATCCATCACTTCACCAGGAGAGAGGGAAGTATTAAGAGATATGAGTAATCAAGTCTGCTGTGTTACTATTTGCGTAACAGAATTCACCAATCCAGTTCACCAGTTCAACATGGAAAAGCACAGAAGCTCCTAATCTTGGTCTTTTCAAATTGGATAGCTGGCAATCTGCTGTTAGATATACTTCAACGATAACTGAAGTATGAACCATGACATATTTTAAAATGCCTCAGAACAAAACACCTGATATTAATGCTGCAGTGTCAGAATAACCTAGATGTGCCCTTCAGAGGATCTCAGCTCAACAAAACTGAATGAATACCAGTGAATCTTGGTACCTTCTTGCTCTGGAGTACAAGAGAAAGTTAACTCTGTCAGGGCAGCCGGCTGCATGTGTGTATGTCAAGGGGAAAGACTGACTGTAGAACTGTTTAGTGAGAACAGCTGAACAGAGACCTCTTGTATATATGCAAAGCAAGATCCATGCCTTGAGCAATTTCCTGCTGTCACTAACTCCCAGGATTTTTTCACTGCTATTTATAACCAGCAATCGCAATTGGTACTCTCATGCAAGAAGGAACGCTGACAACAAGAGAGAAGATTCATAAACAAAAATACCTGGGAGATGACATCTGATTATTTACATTCTCTGCAACTCTTATTAAGAAACATATACTGAAACAGGATCAATGCTAAATATTCCCTCCTTATGAGATCAAAAGCAAATGTACAGATTCATTACTCTTGTGCATTCTTGCCTACTTCATAACCACACGTTATTAAAATTTGTTTTAAAAAGAAAAATTCTTCATTCAGCATGAGAAAATATGAAAATTAGTCTATTAACCTTGGCAATCTTACCATGCAAGCCTGATTTTCAGTATTACTCAAGCCATATTTAGAAGGGACTGTTGCTGCAAAAAAGTTATCAAGCAAATTGAAGTCAATCTCCTGTTAATTTTATTCCTAGACAAACGTGGTATCCTTTACTGACAGAGAGAGATCTGTAGTTTCTGTCAACAAAATGGTTACATTATTCCTTCCACCTGAGAATTTCAAATCTTCATCGCTTTTCATCATATTGGGAGATTTGATCCTCCATAAAAGGCAAAGCAGCTAATCATTCAGGAAAAAGGAAACAGTCATGGAACACATCACGAATGAACCACGCACAGACAGAAGTGTGTTTACTAAGCTTAGTCTGAGTTCAGGTTCACAGCATACTTTAGTTCTATCAAAACAAATGCCACAAAAATATCCATTTCTCAAAAAAGTAAAATGTAACAAAAGAAATAATAGTTTCTTATTTTATGAGGGCAGACCATTTTTTAACTTGGAGGTTACACTTTAAAATTACATTTTGCTTGATGCTAGCTTTGCCCAGTCCTCATTTTGAGAAGCAGTGTCACAAAAACACCCAAAGTCCTCTCACAGTAAAAGTGCATGCAATTCAAATGAACTCAGAATTATTTACTTGACTTTAAAGTTCCTCATCTTACTGCTGTTGTGTTAAAGACCTGCACTTCCCACCCGTGGGGTGGAAGTGATGCCTTGAGGAGCTGGAACAGAGGCTACACAGACTTAAGGGGAATAAAATGGGTATTTATTGAGAGGCCTACGAAAGGCCTCCAAAAGCCACACCCTAGCAGTATGAGTGCTACAGTTGTGACCCCTGCCTGGATGGCTCCAAGATGGAAGCAAAGGAGGCTTGGTCACAAAATCTCACACTTTCATAGGTTTTGGTTCATTTGCATGAACCCACCCTCCACGTTTCCACGTTGTTTGTGCTTAGGGCCTGAAGTTTGGAGAAAGTGTCCTTGAGTTCTTAACTAGAATAGGACTGTTTTGTCTTCATCACCCTAGCACATCAGAAAAGCACATTCAAGGACAATAGGAAAACTTAAAACTAAAGGCATCAGGAGAAAGCCTACAGTCCATTTCCACACACTGCAACAAAGTGCTAACAGAGGGGTTGTGCCCTGAGTGGCCCATATCCTTCATTAACACCACAAAGCTTTCTACTTTCCTTCATCTACTGAGATTATCAGAAATCTTAATGTCACTGTGTGTTGACAGAGCAGCAGCTGGAACACTGCTGATTTCTGAATATGGGACAAGAGATAGCAGCCGAATCTATTAGGAAGGTACACAGTAAGTAAAGGAGATTCACATGGATAGAAATAATCCTCACCTTACTCCTCTTGATTGCACTTGGAAAAATGCACCTTTCTGACCATTTTGTCAGTTAAGACTGACAAGGTTCAGCAAGGGAGGTACCAATTAAGAATAATTAAAGGATTAACACATCTCCTCCTCTTGGTCATATGTTTAAGGTCATGGAGCTCTAACAGAAGCAGTTTCTTAACACAAAATGAGCTCATGTATTTCAGTAAAGAGGTATAATGCACACAAGAGAGGTAACTCAACAAAACATAGCATTAATGATCTGCAATAAACAGCAGATTTTCTGAGAGGCCAAAAAATCCTAACAAAACATACTTTGCATTTTTGTGACACAGGCAGGCTCTGGATTTCTTTGGACTGCCTTCAAATCACACAGATCCAACAAAACAGGACACCATTTGTTCCCAAAGATATAAGTGCTTCAGACTGGGAAGGAAGGGTGGTGGTGCAAGGGAGAATGATCCAAAACCTCCATAGATGATGGCTTTTAAGCAAGTATTTTCCAAATGAAATTCATAGGAAAGTTGTTCAGTGTTTCACAAAATATCTGATTAGACAGAGGTCTGATGACCTAGGAGAGCAGAAATGCCTTATTACATGTAAATTTAAATTCAATTCTAGTATAAATGCATTACAACAGTAATTTTTATAGCTGTTGTTGTTTTTTGCCTTGTTAGATATCAGTAAAGAACTGTTATCCCCACATCTCCTGCCTGAAGGCCTCTGATTTAAAACTAAAATAATTAAAAGGGAGGGGGTTGCATTCTGAATCTCAGGAAGGGGGTTCTTGCTTTTCCTTAGCAAATACCTGTCTTTCAAACCAAGACACTTGAAATACAGAAATGCTTTAAACAAACCCCAGTAGCCCTGCCTTGTTCAGAGCATAGTACGTACAATGCTGAGTTAAAAAACAGGTTTTCAACATTTGTTCTGTACTCAGTTTTCAAAATGAGACTCCATCATTTTCATGTTGCTAATAAGCCCCCTCCAGCTTCTTCTATGCAATACATAGATTATACTTACCCTTGATTGATTAAATATAATTAGATTACATTTACTATTCTATTTCCTTTATTTCTCTTCCAATACTCATTATATACTATTCCAAGAGTTTTTAACACAGGATTTTATCAACCACAACTCGAAAACTAAAGAAGAAATTGTCCATCAATTCCTTAAAGTTCCTTCTACTTAAATTCTAAATTCCTTAAAGTTCCTTCAATAGACATTCATCTTTTCTTTTTATTATCTATTTTCTAATTTCCAGAACAACAAATATAGCCATAGCTAATGAATTAATCACCTTAAAACTAAAGAAAACATTGTTGCTATACCATTTTTTTTACATTTTCATCCAATACTGACTTTTTATTTAATGACAGTGTTATTCTCCCCTTTCAAGTTCAATTGCATTTTCCTCTTGCAAGAATTCCACATATGTTCTGAAATAGGGATACATGCCAAGGCCATATAGAAGCCCTGGGAGTAAATAATTGTTTCATCACCTAATACAGGGAAATAAGAAAAAAAAAAAAAAACAAACTAACAACTAAACCAAAACCTTAAAGCAGACGAACAAAAATCTTTGATTAATAATTGGAGATTTTTCTCATTTTGACATGGAGAAAGTTGAATTAGATCTGCACTCATTCCAGACCAAAGCCCAGTACAGCGCACACAAATAGGAAGCACCACTCAAGCAGTCACACTATTCCTGATAACTTAACTCTAGCATGAAAACTATTTGGGTAAGTTTCTATCAGCTATTTTGGGAGCAGCAAGGCAAGCTGTAGAGCACTAGAGGTTTCTGAAATTCGGATCTCTGCTTTTACTCAACTTCCTAGGAAACACAGACAAAACTAGGTACCATGTAACATTGACTACATGCCTTCCAAACCACAAGATTTTGGAGTAAGTACTCCTTGACAGCTGTGAGAAAGTAACCTGTTAGTCAAATTATAATGTACTGCAGAGTCAGTACATTGTACAGTACTACACTACTGTCAATATAAATACCAAATTCATGCCTAAAAAAGTTGGCTGCGAATCAATTCAAAATTTAATCTAAAGTAAACTTGGATCTTAAAATTAATTACAGAAACACACATACATAAACAGGTAATTCTCACACACACACAAAAACCCAGGAAAAAACCCCTAAGCTGCAATGTTAACCAGATTTTTTATTACTGGTCTCCATACCAAGTTCTACATCCTCCCTGAGGTTAGCAAAAACACCTATCCCTGTCAAAAAGAGTAAAGGATGTCAGACAGTACACTTACTGTGTTTACACTCACAGCAACAAAAGCTAAGTCAGGCATTTTCCATTTGTTTAGTAAAAAGAGATCATGTCAATCCCATAGCTAGACTGTTGAGCACTTGTAATCATCTCCCAGCTGTTAAGAGGCAACTGAGAACTGAAGAACCATCTCAAGTGCCCAAATTAAAAAGAGATACACTAAAGTCATATAAATTATACACTCACAAAGGAAAAAAAAACAAAACTCACATCAGTCCAAAGTGAGAAAGGCGTTTTCCCAATAATTCATTTTATAACTGATAAGGTGGCTCAACACACAAAAGGCTGAATACAACCTCAGAGTCACGAGTTCCCATCATTATGTTTGGGTGTTCACCTATTCCCCTCTGAATGATAGGTAGATGAGAAAAGCCAACACAAGGGAGTTATAAAATGGATACTCCTTGTGGCCACACCCAATATACAATGTTTTATCTGTCAGGATTGTGCCTGAGAATCAAGATGTTACATTACTAATCAGATGCCGTTCTCCAACTTTATCATCAAGCACATCTCATGCATAATGAAGACTGCAAAGTGAAAAACTTCTGATCTTCAGTATAAGATCCATGTATCACCCACTCTGCTTTGTATATGCCCAATCTATACAAACAATTATGCTGCCTAAGGTGCTGACTTCCACTGATGGAGGGAAATGCACATACAAAATTTGTAATACACTGTTCCAATGTGTTACACTTTTTTCTCTAGTGTTTAGCAGAGAAAGAATAAAACCAAAACTATCTATCAAAGCTATTCATGTCTTTAAATTTATAGTCCAAGCTGGCCAGGATAAAACACAGATATCATTTCTTCCATTTTATCTGAAAATATGATGTTGAAAAATTGAGACAGGCTTTAACATGGGGAACCGGTAATCCTCTCTCTTCTAGACTTTTGAGTGTGTCATTTAAAAACACATAATGCAGCTCAAAATATCAGGACAAAGTTGTACAAGCCAAGCTATTGCTTGCTTGCAATCCAATGTTACTATCTTTAAAAAAATCCTTAAATCAAGTACTGTAAAGTGGGCCCAACACTTACATTATTGTCAGAAAACTGAATGTACTGTATATTGAACTACTGAGATCCAACCAAAAAACCCACACTGCCATAAGTGAAAAAGCAGATGAGTACTATGCTAGGATATGGTACACAGCCTTAGAAACAAAATTAACTAACTAGAAAAACATGTGATAGCAAAAATGTTCTCATTACCTACTCTTCTAAATGGGATATCAGTAGGGTTTTCCAAGTCATATTTCAAAGCTATGCTAAACACATAACATACATTAAGCATAAGCATGTCCATAATATAGGCAAAACACCCTGCTTTTACTGTAAGCTCGGCCTGCTGTAAGATATCACTACCACTTTTCTAATGGCTTCTTGTTAAGCAGGCTACTTTCACATTTGCAACACTGTACTGTGAAAGCGGCCAAACTTCCTCCTGCTTGCATTCATTCCCTGCACAGACTACAATCTGGCCACAGCTCAGCTATAAATCCCTATCTCACAATGAACTACTCATTAGAGAAATACAGAATACAGTGCCTGAAAAAAACCCACAACTTCCATCTTTTCACAGAGAAGTTGTAACAGCAGTCTCATTATCCTGCTAATGTTTTCAGGAAACTATCAGAAATTAATTATATTCTAGCATCTTTAGAGAAGCCCCTGCCTCTGCAAATTTTCAGAAAATGTATCTGTTTTAATATGCTGTTAAATAAGAACAAGAAATTAAATCAGAAGTAATATCAAAAGCACAAATACAGACTTGGGCAAAAAAAACCCATTTGAAATTAATGAGATGCAGTTTGAAAAAATTTACTATTCAATTCTAAACATGGCACTAAACAGAAAGAAAGAAAATTCATTAATGAGTCATTATGTATTAAGTCAAGACTCAGTGTGGTCTCATTAGCCAAGTAGGTTAGACCTAATTAAAACTTGGTGCACATACAAAGACTAAACTGGCTGTTGCAGATTGTCAGGATTTTGAGTGGGGCCTGACCATTGAACCTGCACAACTCTCAAGAAACTCTTGCTAGATACTTCCCACTTTTAAGCATATCAGCACTGTCTGTATACACTTCAAAGTATTATACTCTCTAAAGATGCTAGGAAAAAAATCCAAACTAATTCCCACTTCATATCCGCCTTCTGAATCATCACATCACCTGGTGTTTCAGCTGGCCATGCAGTATATACAGCATCTTCTACCTGTACTACTGCTGGGCATGCTGTATAGAGACTCAGGGAGGGAGAGCAGTGAAGAAGGACAGGTAACACATTCCAAACACTCTCCAAAGCCAAACTATTCAACAAATTGCCCACAGGACACTAAAAAACCTCCAAAATGATAGGTTTGTAACACTTAGACCTAAAATGAAATGCCTCCACTGGCAAAATATCACTCCAATATCAGAAGCAACAACACAGCATGATTTTCACTCTGCTTGAATCTCTAGACTAAGGAGGCTGAAGCAATTCAAACAAGACAGACTTAAAACTGAAGGAACCAAGAGCAGAAGTCTGCATGCCTTCTCTTTGGGGAAAAATGCATACAAGTCCTTCTTTTCATTCTTTTAATTTACTCTTCTTCTAGCCCACAAAACATGCATGCTTAATCATCAAAAAAGTAACTGAAGAACAATTCAAATAAAACCAAGGCCTAAAATGAAAAACATCTCTTCAGTATTCAGTCTACTATACTCTAGATGGTATGAGAAAGTACTAAGAAATTAAAAGTTAAAAAAAGTTCACAATTAAGAGCTTCCTATTATTGCTGGCCTCCCTAACTCATGGGTGTAGTAAAGGAGTAAAACATCTGTTACTCTACAGCAAAACCACAGTCAAGCAACTACATCTTTTATCCCACAAAATATTTGCAGAAAAACGTTCCTATAAGCAAAACGCATAGCTAAGTAAACAACTTATAGTATTTAAATTAAAATCCCTCATCAAGCATCACAATTTGCAAGCATATTTTTTTAATGAAGCATAACTTCCAATCAAGCATAGCAGACTATCACATTAAGAAGAGGTTTGGAAAGAGTAACCCCTGTTAGCATACATACCTTTGTCCTTCTTGAAGTCCAAAGCATCTTCCTTATCCGTCACTATTTCCTTCATGTTGATAATGCTTTGATGATTAAGCTGTCGAAGAATCTTAATCTCTCGAATAGCTGTAATTGGAAACCCTTCCTTTTCATTATCCAGGCGTACTTTCTTCAGTGCTACCATTTCCCCTAAGAGAAAGTTTTAGTAAAACTCATTAAGATTAGCAATCAAATGATGAGATTTAATATTGATTTGTATGTTTGTTTTTTAAAACCCTGATGCTTGCACCAAGCACAATGCTGAACAGAAATCAGTATCACATACAGAAGCAAAATTACAAATGAGAATTTTCAGCTATACACTATAAGGGCTATCCTTCTTCCTCCAGAACAACTCATGTATCCCAATATTCCATACCATGTCGACCAGTAAAGAGTGATTATTAGCAGCAGTTTTAGAGACCGAGGCCTGTGACTGCTCTGGATTTCTTAATACTGTATCACCACTGGTCAGAATGCATACACCTAGCCAGAAACACTATGCAGTTCAAGATATGAGGAACATGACTAAAGAGTTCTCAAATTCATCAGTATCCTTTCTACAAGCACAAGAGGCACTGCCATTTTTACAGTGAGATTTTTCCTTTACTATTTTATTGCAGGGTGGGCCGGATCAAACTGGATTCTACAAAAATGGCAGAAGCATGACCTACTCATGATGGAGGATGTCTAGAGACCTTCCATACATGCTAATTCAATTGTTTTGTTCTTGGAAGTTTATTGCTGTGTCTGGGAAGTTAATTGACAGCCTAGATTATCTTTGTTAGCTCCAAAATGTACTTACCCTACACTAACTTACACGATACACTCACAATAGATCATATTCCAGCATGACACCACATCCACTTGCTCTGAAAGCCCATAACACAGCTGCTTCTAAGGTATCTCAAAGACCATAAATGCCACTCTCCACACAGGATTTGAATCCAAAGCTAACAGATTTGCTTGCTGTATCTGTATGGACGCCTTTAATGCAGAAAGCAACAACTTCTATGGGATGGGAGGTTAAGAGATGAATAATGCACAAATAACCTGAAGTTTTCCAAAAAGGCAATATGGTTATGGCAGGATTAAAACACAAATATGCAAAGAAGACTATCATAGGAGATCCTAACAATGATTTGCAAAGGTTCTCAGGAATAAGGACTGCTTACTCTTCTGGCAATCAAAAAGAAGGAACTGAGGCTGGTATGTGGTCCTATGGGATTCAGTTACTGCTGAAGTAGAAAACGGTCCAGCATTCAAAGCATGCACAAATAAGCCAGAAGGGCAAGCAATCATGGAAAGAACCACTAACTAAACAGGAAACAATCACACTGCATACAGCATACATAAAGAATTTGGGTAATCTATTTAGAAGTAGTGTCAATATTATGTATCCTACTGGTGACTGCTCTCTCATTTCAGCAATAGTTTAACATGAAATTAAAAAATAATGTCACTACTGTAAAGGCAGTTATATTGAAAGAATATCCCGTGTGCAACTCTTCAGGGCTGTATTGCACAAAAGCAGATTCTCTTCCTACTATGAACTAGTGACTACTGGAGTACAAACAACCATGACCGTATTTTATGCATAGCTTCTTTCACAGTTACATTCCTTCACAAAACTTCATTACAGTTTGCGAATCTGTCTAGGGTAACATTTAGTTTCCCCAGGATATTTAGCCTCTCTTATTTACTAGTTCAACTTTATACAGAGCAACAGAACTCAAAAAATAAGAATTTGAGTTTAGGACTACTTAGCTGGATTTCAGCCACAGATTTACAGAATAAATGATCTTCCAATGCAGCTAATAGTAATTTCTGATTTAGACAAATGCTAGACTTAAAACTGAACACACCAATAACTAAAAAACTTCCAAACACAGGAAGTCAGAATACCTCAAATTTTGCTCAATATAAAACAAAAACCAAACCATCCTGTTCATTTAAAATTGTAGGATTACATTTACCTCTTTTGAACTTACCTGTATCTTTATCTCTGGCTTTGTAAACTTGCCCATAAGTGCCTTCACCAATAATACCAATGATATCAAATTTATCCACACAGCGCTTTCCCCAGTCTATTTCTTTTTCTTTCGTTTCACCATGTCGTGGTCCACATATTCTAGAAAGCAACAAATATTTTTAAGACTACAGCTAGTATATCTCAGCATTGTCTTAACTTTGAATACACCCTATATACTATTTGAGACATTACTAGTTAACTGTCTTATCACCATTAAGTGGGAAAAACCATGCGGTTTGAGTCAAGCCACATTAATATTAAAAATGTCAAAAAGCAGAAGTCTTTTGACAAGAAGATATTTTAAAGAAACTGTTATGATTTCTACTTGCTTGATAAGCTTTATAAAGAAGTTTAATAAACATACTTTGGTCTTCTCTTGCTATGTAATTGAACTGGTGGTTTCTTTTCTTCAGGACTTTTGGGTACCTCAGCTCCTCCAGGCAACTCAGGTGGAAGTGGCAAGTCTGCAAGCAGATGGCGAAGTTTCTTCTCTGTTTCTTTAACTGACTTCACTGAAAGATTCTCTCTCAAGCTATTAAAAAAAACCATAATTTTGCTAATAAGTTGAAGATAGTAAAATATTAACATAAAAGTAAAACTTATTAGAATTATTTTTTAAAAACATACATTCTAGAGTGTCAGTGCATCAACACTTGAAACCTTTGCTCTTAAAATTTGCAGGACTTGGATAAATGACTCACAAATAGCCCTTTGGAAGATGCACAGTTAACTACCACAATGCTACAGAACTGTGAAATCAAACCTTTCTGATGAAAGCTGAGCTCAGATAACACATGAAGCCTTACCAGGCCAGACTTCTGCCACAGAAGCTTCTTTCCAAGTTTATGGCCTAGACTATCAAAAATATTTAGCGCTCAGATGTTGCTAGACATCCAAAGTTCAGTGGTAAAATCTGTATTTTGACTTCTCATATAAGAGAGAAGATCTGACTAACCCAGTTCTCTCTAAAATTGGTCACCACAGATAATGAGGTTCAAGTTTACATTAACACTGCAGGGCATTATGAGGCTGTCCACATCACCTCATTTATAAATTCTAATTGCATATATCTGCCAAAACACTCCAGATTCAACACATTTCTAGTGATCAGTGGGGAAAAAAAAAATCAGACACAAAAAATGACAATGATTTTCTGGCATGGGTAACTGATATCTGATATTTAAGCAACTATAATTAGATAATAGATACTGTCCATCTCTGTCTTGATAAAAACCCCCAAACACACATACAGCATCTTTTAATAATCACAAGATAATCTCAGAAAGCCTCTTCCCATTCTAATGGGGAATAATAACTGCTGCAGGATTTTTTTCTTAAGTACACGGCTCCAATTCACCAGAACTTCTTTTAGTTTAGCTAGACTTGTTCAGCTACTGCATATCCAGTAATTTTAAAGCCATGACCATCTCTAAACTTCATATAATTACATAATTGTTTCGCCCCTGCACAACTCTCCCACAGTATTCACTCTTTTAGTTTCTGTCACTTAAGTCATGCTTTGTGGGGACATTTTCCAAGGTAGCTCCATTTGCCAAATCACACTATTCATCCTTCTCTGTGACTTTTTCTACAACTTCTTACCTGCTTAGTTTCATAGACAAAGCAGGAACTTCTTTAAATGGAAAGATATTGCCAAATCCCATAATAGACTATGCATACATCTTTTCTTACTTTTCTTGCAATGAGCAGCCCTCATATACTCAAATAAAGCACTCCAGTGTTTTGCATATGTCTGTGCTTCTCTGTGAAAACTGAGTACTTACGTCTTTTTTCACTTCCTAAACTGCCAGTGCCCCATTTTAAAGAACCCCCACAAGGAAGCATACACTGCCATCACAAATATCATTATTAAGATGCTAGAAAGAATAAACCACCTTAGTGTAGTGCATGTAACTTTCATGGCAATATAAAATTCTTATTTTGAAGTTCATATATTAGTACTCATCTCATAATTTTCCCCCAAAATTTTCAACATGAGTGAAAGCATAACATATGAAAGGTTCTGACACAAATTTTAAAAGTGGCAGCCAAGAGCAGCCTTTTTTTTCAGGTCTGCTAAATCACACATCATTGATGAGCAGGGCAATTTTCCCTTTTGGCTAACCTGCATTGTGGGGTTGTAACACTGATGCTCCCCCTAGGTCGCTTATTTCTGGATTTATGAGATTCTTACTGAAGGAACCAGGCAGTTCTGCACAGCATCAAGGTCAAGCTTTCTTTGTTGACACAATTTTCCCATAGTAACTCAGAGCCCAAGGTTTTGCCCTCCTCTGCCATTAAAAACATTGATCTTCATCCTTTGATGACTTAAGCTTTATCATGACTTATAATTTCTGATCCAAAGTTTATAACATCCTATAGGCAAAACTAAACAAAGCATAAAAGACATTCCATTACTTCTCATTAATCTTTCTAATGCAGCTGTTTGCAAGCAGTAGGCTTTTTGTTTTCAAAGAACAAGCCCAGTGCTGAAAGAACCACTGCTTAATTGTAGCTTAACTCGTCAGTTTAGCTAACTTAAAACAGGCAATCCATTAAAATATAACAATAATAATAATAATAATCATCGGAAGCAATCAGCTGGCTTCAATATGAAATCTCATTTCACATTGTTGCAATTAATACTGCAATGCCAGTCATATTTTGTTAAACTAGATAGACTAGTTTTTAGTTAAAACAGAAAATCTTGCTCACAGGATCAGGATTCTCATTTACCTAGAGAGGATGGCTTTGTCACAAACATAAATAAAATCATACAATCACTACACCATTCTTACATTTGCTAGAGTTTAATGCTGAAGGACAAGAAACTATTTATTTTAATTTTTTTTTTTAAAGTAACTAATACCGTGTTAGGTTGTATTTATTTCCCAAGCCTTCTATGCAGCCTTAATACTTAATGGAAACTTAAATTATTAGTAAACACAAGAGGAACATTTTCATCTCTAGCTAAAAATTTCTGGCTTACTTGTGATTTCTTGCATATATGTGAAGGGCATGTAGCACCTTCAGTAAAACAAAACAAAACAAACCCAAAAAAACCAAAAAAAAAAAACAACCAAAAAAAAAAGCTTCTCTAACAACGTAATTTTCCAATACAAATCACAGCACAGATTCCCTATTGGGACTACAAACAGCCTTAACATTGTCTAAATTCAGATGACACTTTGAACACAGAAATTAATTTCTTCACTACAGACCAATTTTTACATTTCAAAATTAACACAAATGACAAGCCATGAACTTCACTTCCATTATACATACTAAAAATAATACTGACCTTTGAAATAAATTGCACTAAAATTAACGCCCAGCTATAAAACAACTGCCTTTCAAAGGGAAGAGAATCTTTTCTTCAAACCCCAGCTAAATGAAGAATTTTCACATATTGCTACTGAATTCAACTTTTCCCCAGAAGTAGGTATATGTTCACACCAAACTTGAAATCTTGAATCCATCCTTTCATTAGTCCCAAAGCTATTAGGCACCAGTAATTTTAAAACATTTCTTTAGTAGACTTTTTATAGAAATATTCTTCTTAGACCAAACTCTTCCTTTTTAAAGAACTAATTATATTATTTTTAAGATCAAACTCCTCCAGTTCGCTAACAATCACCAGTCAAACAGCTGAAGAGCAAGAACAAATTAAATAATGCATTAGCCTGATCTAGCATATAGTTTTATATCTATTTTCCAAAGGAAATAACAACCATTATAAAATGGAAAAAACAATCCCAAAAGCAAATCTCTGTGACAACTCACCTATCAGTTTCTTTATCTTCAGGCAGCGTGGGAGGCAAAGGCAAGGGTGGCAGTGTGGAGGTCGGCAGGGTAACAATTCGATCCTTCTCCTTGGCTGGTACACTCGGTGTACTCGGCTTGCTCTTCTCTTTTACAGGGACCGGTGGCTGTTTCACAACAGTCAATTTATTCTCTTTTACTGCTGCAGGCTTCTGTTTAGTAATTTTGTCTGCAGCTACATTATTTTCCGCTTTTGTTTCAGGAAGCGAGACCTTTGCTTTTGCCTTGTCGTTTTTGAGATTTGCACTGCTGGTAGGAGAAGGTGTATGCTCAGTTTTGATTTTCTTCAGGTCTTTAACATTGTTCACTTGAGGTGTAGTTACAGCAGTGTCAGTGTTTCCCTTAGTAGGTGTTGAAGTATTGGACGCTTTTGCACTGGCTTTGGCTGCCTCAGCTGCTCTTGCTTTTTTGTTTTTGTTCAGCTCAGCAGCCAGGCTGCTCTTCAGAGTCAATGTACTAGGAGAAATACTTGAATGACGACTTCTGGATCTAGACAATCTGTGTCTGCTACGAGACCTGGAGTGCCTTGATGAATATGGACTTCTGCTTCGAGATTTTGCTGATCTCCTGTTTCAAAACAGTAAAGATTTAGCCAGGTAAAATTAAGTCTAGCTGCTTTCCCAGCACACCTTTTTAAACTTTTTTAACAAATTAAATTTTTTACATCAACTAATATCACCATGCTCACAGAATAAACACAAGTCTATGAAACAGGAAAGACTGTGCATTAAAAAAAAAAATAAAAATCTATAGTTAATCAAGATTCTACACCTTTATGTTAGAAAACATTAAAAATCTTAGATGTAGTTTCTCCTCTCATAGAACTGTGAAATACAATACTTTTATATAAGACAAAAAATGTTCTGCTTTCCTCAACTACCTGAGAGATATTTATCTCCTTAAAGAAAATCTCCATGTATGCAACTTGTACAAACACCTTTGGTATAATACAGTATTTGAGAAAACTTCAATTTACTACATAGCCAGAATTCAACAAAATTAAATTAAAATAGTAACAGGACAAGAGAAAGCTAAACAACACTGAAGCATTAATTGTAGGAACTTCTGAATTTTCACTTCCATAAATATCATTAAAATAAGTTAACTGAGAAATAAATGGAATACTAAAGAAAAAAAATTGAATACTAAAGACTGCAATGTAGCTAACTGAAAGACAGCTTTACTTTCTTGAAATCTAATTGTACAACTTCAGAAAGAACCAAAACAAACAACCTCTCCCCCTCCCCAAAAGTCCAAGTACCCAGTATTTGTTACAGCTACTGACAAGCAAACAAAACTCACAAATGGGCCTATGCTGCATCTGAATGCATACAGTAATAGGAAGAAGAAAAAAAAAATCTAAGCTGTCTACAAAATCATAGCAAGAAAATTCCCTTGAATGGGGGCGGGTGCAGGGGGGTAAATCTTAAACTTCTAATGTACAACAATAACATTTCATATGAATGACTCATTCAAAATTTCAAGGGATATTCTAATTTGCCTACTACTAATTTTGAGTCAGTTGTTCATTAAGAAATACAGGAAAAAGAAAACTGAGCTGAAAGGGACGGAACAAGCAAAGTAGCCTAATCCACTGCTACCACATGGTATGATAAAATGGATTAATACCCCTACATTTGATTTAATTTAATTTTTTTCATAACATTACTAAGACGAACTAGGATATTCATCAGATTTACAAGTATTTTCTTGACTGATGTTTGATGGAAGTTTATTTTGCTTATCGTTTGAAGAGGAGGAAAAAGCACATTCAGGATTTAAAAAACCCAGTATTTATCAGCTGAATAAAGAAAAAAGTACCAAGCAATAGCAAAAATAAGACTTCCTGAAGATACAAGAATTTCAGAGTTAAAAAGATCACACCAGTGTACAGAGCCTGCCTAAACAAAGGGAAAAAGAAAATCTAGACAAAGCCAACGAAAAAAAAGAGAAACCTGATAAATAAACAAAAAGAATGCCAACTATAATCACTATGATCAAGACTACCCATCTCACACCAAATTTAATTTTACCGACAATTAATTCAGTTTTAATTATCAACACAAGAAATTATATCTCAATGCTTCAACTGAACAAATACATAATCTAGTACAATAACATTTCTTTTGTGTGCAATATTGACTAATCTCTAAATTTACACTCTCTACTTTTTATAATTAAGGAATTCTTGCCCAATAAAAAGTCACTCAGATCAAACAAAACGTGACTGAAAACAATGTGTATGGACACTGTACAGTACAGCACAAGCTTCAAAATTCTATGGGTGACATGGACCCAAATGGCTAGAGACTCATGAATGAAAAAAAAAAAATCAAATCCCAGACAAATATAACTCTTGGAAACTAGCTGTTCAATTCTATGCCAGGAAGAAGGTTTTATAGGATTTTCTGGCACAGTAGGGTAACAATGACAGATAGTAACGATAATAATAACAATGAAAATTATAATCTTAGAAGTTTTTTACACTTTAATTGGAAAAAGCCTCAAAATTTTCTTCTAAGAATTTTCAAACAAAATCTAATGTTTGGCTCACTCAGTAAAGAGATATTAATGTTCATTAATATGTCTAATGTTCATTTATTATGTCTAATAAGCACCAAATAAAATATTGGGCACAAAAATTCCATTGAAAGCTCACTTACACTCGATTATGAACCCTGTTGCTGAAGTAATTTTTCTCTTTATTTTGAAAATCTAAGTACTAAATCCCACAGAATATTTTCAGAGGTTTGGCCAAACAGAAGTAAAACTAAAAAGGTAACAGAGCTCCATTATACAGAGTTAAGACAATGTAGCAAAGAGAAAAAGGGACAAAAATCTAGAAAATACACATGCTTTAAATGCTAAACCAGAGCTCTCCTCACACTGCTGCCTCACTTTTGGAGAGGAATTACTGTACATCTCAAACAGAAGTGTTACCGCTGCAGATCTGCATCCACCCTGGAATCAGTGTAATTACATTTCTCCAGCATCAAGCACAAGCTAATAGTCCCTGTTAGTCCTAAACTGACTGCTATAAATGGTGCATCATTTGCAAAGATGTCACTGACCTGTCTTTGAAAAAATTTCCTTGCACATCTTGCTTATAAATCAGCAATTTCTGACTGACTCTCTCTCCAATTACCTGCAGAACATAACCTCCATCCCAAGTACTTCATTGCAAACTGTACTAAATTTAGTACATGCCCTAAAGGTCTCAAAATGAGCCCTATTTCCTTCATAAGTATGATATAGGGTTTCTTGTTTGCTTTGACTGATACCTAACAAAGAAAGTAATCAAGTAACTAACAAACACAGACATGATTTCACATGCACTAGAAAAGAGAAGTAGCAGCTTAAAACAACACAGTTGGTGAGACACCACTGATTCTAAAACTGGTTCTGTTCCACTTTGGTACAAAATAAAACAGGTTCGTTTAACTCACTACTAAGGTTAAAATGGAAAAATCAGTTCAAATCAGTGACCACTAATTTGATCATGTGATCAGCTACCATAGCTCAGTGAGGAAGAGGCAGTTTTGAAAACCTAGGGCAAAAATAACCTAAACCTTTATACTTCAAAAACAAGTAAGAATTGCCAGTGGATTGATGTCTGTACTTTACCAATACTAATCAAGAGTTTAGGACATGAACATGAATTTATGCAAGCTCAGCTAAAAAAAAACACAAACCCAACCACCATCCATCGTGGGTTTCACACTCCGTGTGACAACTGCACGACCTTTTCATGTTAGAACTGCGTTCACGTGGGAGACAGCAGATATGCATGCACACAAATAGTTCAGTCCCAGTACCTATTACAGGCCTTAACAGCAGATCAAAATTTTAGCAGCTTAATTATGAAATATGTTGATTGATTATAACCTCTGCACTGGTTTAAATTTTCCAAAAACTTTTCATTATTTATGTCAGGAAAAACTATTACATGACCTATACATAGTACCTTTAGCATCCCAAAAACCTTAGCAAGAATCCCTTGCTGTACCTGAACCACTGAGCTAGACCTAGCGAATACAGCAAAAACATTAACATTTTTTAACAGAAGAATTCTGAATTTGAAGTAAAAAGCAGATTTGTCAAAGTGCTTAGTTACAATGAAGCCTGCTGTTCTCATAAGCCTAATCTTTTCAAACACTCAACTATCACTTTCTTTCATGTGGGTAGCTCAGAAGTCCCAACAGACAGCTGAATGACAACTTACGTACAAGTTTTCACCTATAAAAATGGCACAAACCCAAAAATATGGACACATTTACAAGCTTTCCCTCAAAAGCTTATACAACACTCAGAGTGGAGAAATATTGCCTTATACATAATAAAACCAGCCAGCTCACTCTGTTCTTACCTAACATTTAACATGCAAGATGAAGTCACAGCAGCACAGAAATGCACTCACACAACAGCCAGTGTCTGCCAGTTAATAGGACACTGACTACCTAGTGAGACCCTGAAAAAATACCTGAAGTACACAGTCTAAATCTTCCAGCAGGTACATATTAAGTGTGTGTGCATGCTTACACATACATGTAAAATGCCTTATCTGACATTTGACACCAGCTACTTCAGATGTAGTCAGCAGCTTGTTTTAACACGGTAAAAAGGAACGGCTGCAACTGCACAGACCTGCACTGCAAAAAGCAAATGCATTGAACAACGCAATTCAAATTCCTCTTCCTGAAGGAGAGATCAGGAAGTTTACTAAAACTAAAGGCCACATTTCACTCTCTTAAACAAAAGCACCAGCACGTGCTGCTAACACACAAGGAGAGAGGCTAATAAGCAGCCCAAGTTACTAAGAAGGTAACTTTCCTTCGATGTTTTTCCCTGTTTGCACCCAGAAGTTTTGCCTCATTTTAGAGTAGCTTTGCCACTAAAGCCATTAACAGTCTTCTCTCAGCATCTTAAATTCACTTCACACAAGTGTACATCCCTACAGAGAACACAACTGCTACACTTCATGACACTTGTAAAATCCCTTCTGAGCCATATGTAGATGACAGTGTGTTTTTATATATGGAGGAAAAAATAAGAAAAAAGAAAACTGATGTGCCTGAAGACCATAAGTATTAGTAGTGTAAGTTTTAAAGCTGCTTTGTTTCTTCCATAGAGACAGCAACAAAGTCTGTAAGCACAACAGACTGACTGCAAGGAGACATGGAAGAAATTACATTTTAGCTATAGCTATAAAATAAAAGGAAAAAAACAAAAAACAAACCAACAAACAAAAAGTTAAGATATTACCTACAAAGCATATAGGAAAAGAGACAAATGTAAAGAAAGTGATTGAGGAAGAAAGCACTAGTAAGGAAGCCACCCTGAAACCAAAACTCCACTTTGCAGATCAAGAAAAATAATGGCCTCAAAGACGGAAAAAAAAAGTTAGTTTGGGTATCACAGTTCTTTCTTTTTAATTTTTTTGGTTTTGCATAGTACTCAACGTTTCATAAAACAAACAGATATTCGTTGTTTCTCTGCTTCATACAATGTCACTTTAGAAAACACTACTTAAGAGATCAAAAGGTTTTGAAGTAGAAGTTTCAAAACTGTTGCATTTCTCCTTCCTGATAGGCATCATTTTATGCACCTCATTGGCTCACTCATAAATTACCACAGAAAATTTACTGATTAATTTAAAAAAGAAAAATGTCCACTGATGTAACACCACTTATATTCTCAAGCAAAGAATGAAAGAATTCCAAATAGTAGCTTAGAATGCTTTTACTGTCTTGATATTTGAAACCAGAGAGGAAAGAAAACTGTTATCTACATCAAATTTCCAGGAATATATTTTATTCAGCTTAGACAGTTTTTCTTGCCATGCTACCTTTCTAGGTGTTTCTTTCTGTCCCCTTTCAATACCATCTTAAAACCAAAAACAAATTACATTTTATTGACAAATCAGAACGATCATGTGTTACCTTCTCATGTTTCTAAACTTGAAAACCCCTTCTTCTGAACTGCTTTAAGAGCAAGCTAAATCCATCATGCTGCTGGCCAGCTGTACGTTATCTAAGTGCAAACAATTTTGTAGTTGAAATACGCAAGGCTCTGTGAGCTGAACAAGCGAACTAACTTTGTCAGTAACTTTCTAACAAGGCATAACACAAAGGGATTTATGAGAACACGGAGGCAAAACCAAGAAACTTCACAGTCCAAAGAAGGTTAAAACAACCACTGCAGCCCAGCTCTTTCTTTAACCTGCAGGTAATGCTGGACTAAGCACTGCCATCCTTCCCTGCACAGCAAGTGTATTTGAAAAGAGAGACCTAAATTTAATAACTGGCTCCAGAACAGACCTTCCATGACATTTACAATCCCTTGGTATCATAAAGCACTTTGACAAAACATTTTAGCTCATAGTATAGCTTTTCCATGTTGCTCTAGCAGGCAAACACGTAGTTCATTTCTTTAAGCCATTACAGTAATAGTATTCTTTCACTTGATACCATATTAATCAATTGTATTTATTTTCTCTAGCCCCCAGTTCAAGGTTACATTCTATGCAGCTCTGCAACCAGCCTCCTACTCAGCTGCTTTGTACACAAAGACTACATAACCTGCCTTACTGATTCAAACTGTAAATCTTTAAAACAGTCTCCAATACATACTGGAAAACTCTGAGCCGGGCTTTTATTTGTTTCTTGAACCTGCTTCAAACCCCTCCATTTTCATATAAGAACTTGGCCTACAAAGAAACCAACCAGTTGGTCAAACCAACTCAAAATCTGTGTTTTAAACATTTGAAGTTAAATTTTTCAAATGAAATTTCCTTTTTCAAATAAGGAAAGAAGAAGCAAGGAAAAGGAAAGGCACACGAGCAAAAGGCAAAAGCAAGCAATGTGCACTGGAAAAATTAGCTACTTGAAACACTGAAAACCTAGAGTGGTCCATTTTAAATTCTGCAAAATACAGTTTTACTAAACAAAATTAGAAAGCATTAAATTTTTTAAAAAAAGTATTTTTACTAATCAAGGAGGAGGGGGAATCAAACTCTCTCTTAATCCTTTAAATTCAAAAGCAGTAGATTTACTGGAATGAAAGTTATTTTCATATCAGTGTATGGCACTATGGCTTCTCCATTTACTAGCTGAATATATATTTTACTGTTTTCCCTACACTTGTGATTCTGCACATAAACGACCCATATCTTTCAGAGCCTCACTACTACAGACTAGCTACCAACACAGACTGAGTTTACTTTTTAGTACCAAAATGAAAAGAAATCTTGTATCTCTCCTATAAGCAACATCTCTGCACATCATAGTACTATGCTAGTAGTGCCCCACCCACTTACTTTTATCTAAGCAGACGGGTAGGTGTATCCAAATTTGGAAAAATGTGATTACTCATTTATACTGCTAACTGAATTAAATGTGTGATCACATAACATATGACCTGATTCAAGTTACAAAAAGTAGTTCTCTGGAAACTAGTTTAGCATTAAATTGTAGGAAACAAGGGACTGCATCTACTTCTTTTGTCAACCACGGGGTTTGATTGAGATTTTTTTTTAATCCAGTCATTTTATCAGTAGAGGAATAAATACCTCATACTTTTGGAAGAATCTCCATTTTGATAATATGCATGTGCTCCTTTAGAACAGCTGTGTTATCCTATCCACAAGAAAATAAGAGTAATACAAATCCACCAACAGCAAGTAAAGTTTTATCAGACAAGTGAATACAGCTCAATTGGTTTACCCAAAATACAAATTTTAAATTAGGCTGTATTCAAAGAGAAATCACCAGGGAAATATCCAGTGTCTTTGCTTCTCCTTAGAACCCACAGCCAAGTATCACCTATAAACAACAAAATCAGTACTGCAATTCAAACCTCACAGCAAAAATGCACTGTTGCTGCTTCAAACGAGCAAAGCTGACTTCACTTATATCTCTTCAGCTGATTACTAGAAGTTTCTCTCTAAGCAGCTCAGATACCTAGATTAAAAAATTACCACTAAACACACGGGCTTTCCAAGCATGCTAGAATTGCTTCGTAATCATTTTCTATATACCAAAATAACTGGGTAATTTACATAACATTAGAGAAGACACATATATGAGACATAAAATGAAAAGGGTGAAAAGACTTGCAGGCTGAAATAGTCACATACAAAGTTCCTACTGTGTGGACATCATTACAGCTGGATACAAGCCCAGAATTAAGCCTTTAAATCGTCCAGATGAAGAACACAGGTGCTGTAAGAAGCTGTTGCCTCCAAGAAACTGTAATACTCTATCAAGTCTAAGGCCACTGTATCATTATCAAACAGACAGCAAAAATGTTCAGCATTTTGGTTGTAGTACTAGAGTCAAGCAAAAAGTGATTATGACATAGTTTTGAATGGTTTAAAGAAAAGTATAAACCCCTCCCTTTCTATTTCCCCACTGCCATTGCAACACACATTATCATCAGTAGCTGCATGCAAGGAAAAAACCATTGACTTTCATTTCTTCACAACAGGTACACATTATCAACAGCTGACTTCAGGTTCACACTTTACGTTTCTTTTGTTTTCTACGAAAGTGACATTTTTGCAATGAATGCGCCATTAGGACAGAGCTCTTTTTTCTACATATAGAAACCTCTATAACCTCTCTTTTTCACTCAGCCATTCCAATCCCTTTCATGTAAACCTGCCAGTCTGTATATATTTGTCTGTAAGCAGTTAAAAACTGAACATAAATTACAATTCAACCGGAGGGAGGAAGAAAGCCAGGGAGTCACAAAGCTAACTCCTAGAAACAGATCTGCAGGCTCAAGAAAGACTTACCACAGAGTGAATACCAAAATCAGATTTAAAATCTCATGCTTCAAATCACAGGCCCACTGTGCCCCAACAGAAAAAGAACAATCCTACAAAACTCTACTTAGCCCAATTAGTCAGTGCACAAGACAAAATCCTAAACTTAACTAGGTTGTAAATACTGAGCTATTCCTAAATGCAAACCTCATAACTCTGTGCATCATTATTAGCCTTCTTATTCCAGGATATAAGCAACTACAGAAATTAATCTGATTCCTAGGGCATTTGAATCAAACTATGCACATAATATTCCTGCTATGCTATTATTCAAATAATTTTGAAAGTGTATTTTAACCACTTGTAACAGACACTTTCAGAAGAACAGCATGATGTTCTCAGAGCAATTACAGTGTTTTCTTCTTGAAACACCGTACTGTATACAAAATTATTCCACAGAACCACACCTTCAGACAATCGCTATTCTTATCCCAAGGCACTTTGGCTCTATCTCTCTGAACAAAGTAGGACACAGCTTTGTTACTTTGCTCCTTAAACAGCACCTGATGCACACTGAGGACAGCAGATTCTACCAAGGGCCAGTGAAACATGGAACAGCTTTATCATGTTCCCTGGATACTCTACAGGACACCCCAAATGGTGATCAACAACAAGTGCTTATTAAAAACACCAGAGACCAGTTCTCAGACAACCCACCAGGTAATGCTTTGTAAACAAAATTCTTGCCAGTGAACAACACATTGCTGGATATCTTTAAAATTAAAATCCAGTCAGGAATTTAAGTAGGTCTACAAACAACGAGGCAATAGTAAGATTCCAATATGGGAAATAAAAATTTTCAGTTATAAATATACACTAAGCAAATACTTTTCAAATTTCAGTATACTATTCTACAAGTTAAGATATTCTGAAGAGCTTGAATTCCACAACACGGTTTACATCTGATTACAAAGATACACACTTCCACAACCCACACTTCCTCTCCACATAAAATTCAAAAACTCAAGCAATGCTGACCTTTACACCTTGAGTTCCCACTAACAGTAAAGAAAAATTATTTGCAAGAATACATTAATTATGCACACGTGCATAACCTTACCAGGAAAAGGAACTTTTATTTTTCATAGGTTATGTAATTTACAAGACAATTTATCAAAACGTGACACTGACTCAATTTTCTAGCAAAACAAAAAGCCCAAGTCCTTCTAGAGACCTCTAAAAAGAGCAAGAAAACACTTGTAAACGCAAACTGCCCATCAGCTGGTTTTTTCTTTAGATTAGCAGAAATTAAACCAAACGCATCCTATTACACATCCTATTTTACCCAGGAACAGGATACATAAAAATGTACCATAGAACGTCTGTACTTTGTAAGCAAAGATTTAAAAATCACAACTGGTCCTTCAGAAAACCTGTCCTCCAAGGAGCATCTTCCTTCAGTCACTCTCATCTGAAAATGTTCTTGAGCCCTGTAACATTTAAAAGCCTTTTTCCAGGAAGGTTCTCTCCCACGGAGAGAAACTAGCCACAGAAGTGTTACAGGCACCGGCATCTCCCTTTCTCCCCGAGAGACAGGACAGGAAAATCTTTGTACTTGTCCCTCTTCCCTGCCCCTCATCCCAGCTTTCTGGCACCAAAAGAGTAAAAGGGAGGGATTGCTACTGGATGCAAATCTCTCCAGCCTCTTCTGCATTCCTGCCCCAGTCATTACTCCCCTCCACACACCAGGCCCCCACCCCATCCCACCTTCGCTCCCGCGCCCGGACTTACCGGATAACGGGGCTGTAGGGGCTCCGCGATCGACGCCAGCTGCTGTAGGGGCTGGGCGACACATCCCCGCCGCGCTCGTACGAGCTGTGCCGGCTGTAGCTGGGGGATCGCCGTCGGCTGTAGGGGCTGAGCGGCGAGCGGGCGCCCACCGGGCTGAGCGACTTGCGGCTGCGCTGGCTCTGCGAGGAGCGGTGCAGAGGAGGGCTGTCATCCCGGCCAGGGCTGGGCGAGGAGCGCTGACGCCGGTACGCCTTGGGCTCGGGCTTATCGTCTCGGTAAGCTTTCGGAGGGTCCTTGTACGCCGACGGCGGTTCTTTAGCCGCTTTAGTCCGACTCCTGTGCGATTTGCTCTCCCGGTCTTTCCTGCCGCTGCTGGGAGAGGCGAGGGAGCCCTTCCTGCGGCCGTCGCTGCCACCGCCGCTGCTACTGCTGCTCTTGAGTCCTTCCCGGTCTTGGCTCCCGGTGTGGTTGTGGCGGCTGCGGGATTTGGAGGACGAGGAGGGCTCGGATGCCCCGCGGCTCGGTGCCGCCGTCCCCTCCTGCTGCGCCTTTTCCTCTCCCCGTCGGCGATGCTCTCGGTGCCGCTCCTTGGAGCGCCCGCTGCTGCCGCGGTGCTCCCGACGAGACCGGCCGCTTCGCTCCGCCTCGCCCCGCTGCCGCTGTGTCCCACCGCCCGAGGAGGAGCCCGGGCTGCCCCCGCCACTGCCCCCGCCGGCCGCGCCGCTACCCAATAGTCCTTCGGATTGAGAGCTCACGTCGTCGTATTCCTCCACCAGCGTGCTCAACCCGCCGCTACCGCGCCGCTTCTCCGCCTCCTGGGTGCCCCCGCCGCCGCCACCGCGGCCCCGCCGCCGCTTGTGGCGGGAGCCCGAGCGCCGCTTGCCTCGCGGTCGCTTCCGCTCCCCGCCTTCCCCGCAACAAGAGGAGGCACCGGTGGCCGCCAGGAAGAGCAGGGACTGTGGCGGCAGCGGCGGCTGCAGCAGCGGGGGCTGCAGGAGCGGCGGCTGCAGCAGCGGGAACAGCAGCGGGTGCGGGGCCGGCGGCGGCGGCTGCGGCTGGGCCGCGAAGCGCTTCCGTCTCCGGTGGTGCAGCCGCTTCTTGTCGGCCGTCGCCTCCACCGCCGCGCTGCCGCCACCGCCGCTGCCCCAGCCCCGGCTACCCCCGCTCCCGCCGGCCGCCGCGTCCGAGGTGCTCGGCATCGAGCTCGCTCACGGCCGAGGGCGCGGCCCAGGGAACCCGCCGCCACCGTCGCGCTCAGGGCGCCATGGGGACCTGGCGGCGCCGTGCACACGTACCGGGACGGACACCCGCGGGCCGCGCCGGGGCCTCGCTCGCTCCCGCACCGCCCGCCCGCCTCACATGGGGCCACACCGATACATACGGGGTCGGGCTGAGCGCGCTGCCCGATGCGGCGGCGGGGGAGCGGCACCGGCAGCGTCCCACAGGCCGGCGCGGCCTCTCCCGCAACACGGAAGTGTCTTCTAGCGGCGGCGGCTCCTCCTCACTTCATTCTGGGCCGCGGGCGCCGCCGCGCAGGGACACGGACACCGGGCACGGGCCTTCTCCACCTCTTCCCTCAGCCGCTCCTGGCAGGGCGGCTGGGTCAGGCCAGGCCGGGCCGCCACCGGGCGAGGTATCCAGGGCCCTGCGCGGCTCCGATCTCAGTTCTCCTGCCTGGCAGGGGCCGCACGTGTCGGGGCCGCTCCCGCCGCCGCCGGTGCCCGAGAGCGCTCTCGCGGCCTCAGCGCCGCCGCGCGCGGGTGACACACGCACCGGGGGGGACACGGACACGGCCCGGCGGCGCGCGGCGCATGCGCGACGCCGGAAGCGGGCGGGGGAGGGAGAACGCGCCCCGCCAATCGCGCGCGGCACCGCCGCCTTCTCCCGCATGCCCGAGAGCCGACCTGCTCTCGCGAGACTTCACCCGGCCCTCCCCCCGTCCCGGTGACTCTCGCGGTAACTGCGCCGCGGGCCCCGCGGGCAGCGACAGGGGGTGGGTCCGTGCCAGGGGATCAAAGATGGCGCTCGGAAAGGAATGGGCAGCGTGAGCGGGCTTAGCCCGCCGGGCACTTTCCTTGTCCTTCTCTTAGCACTCTCTGGAGGCTTCGGGCAGAAACCGATGCACAGGAAGTTTCGCCTGAATACGAGGAAGAAGTTTTTTACTGTGTGTGTGACCGAGCACCAGAATAGGCTGCCCAGAGAGGGTGTGGAGTGTCCCTTACTGCAGGTGGTCCAGAACTGTCTGGACATATTCCTGTGTAATCTACTCTAGGATGACCCCGCTTGAGCAAGGAGGCTGGACTAGATAGCCCAGTGTGGTGCTTGCCCACCTCACCCGTTCTGTGAGCTGGAGCAGGACTCTGGGAGGTGATGTAGGAAACCCGCCGGTCCCCGGATGGTTTTCCCTGCTTTTGTTGTATGTAGGCCTTGGATGTCGACTGGGAGGCGTGAGAGAAAACGTCTTCAGATAAAACCCCTGTGTTAATCTGAAACAGTCAAGCCACATCGCTACTTCATAAAAAGTACTTTGTTGCTGTTGTTGTCTTACACCACTGAAACCAAGTACGACTTAGACAACTTAAAGATATTTTAAGTTTCCTTCCAAAGTTTCTGATTTTGTGCTCTAACGAAAGACTCAAGCTTTTTTTCCCTTTTTCTGCCTACTCTATCCTGTTGCTTTTTCATGGTTTTGTTGAATTTCATGACTAGAACTGCAACTGCTCCAATGAGGCACTGAGTGTGCCTCAGCTCTGCTTCTTGGGCTGACTATTTTCTATTAGGCACATCTGCTATACCATCTTGAATGTTGTGAGCACTTTAAAAGCAGAATCTATTGTCTTTCCTTAGGGATTTAATTATTTTCTGGCCACCTTGCTATCTAATTATTGTTAGCTAGTTAATGTACATACTGGTTACATTTGTTTGTGAAACACAATGCAAAAATAAAAGACCAAAGCAAAGGAACCCACCTGTTTTTCACTGTTGTATTTCAGTTCCTTAAATCTCTGTTTCCTCTCCTTTTCTAAACCCAAGCAAAAATATTCTGCCTGTCCACATCCTGTGTGATGTCTATCTGGCAAATCTCCTTTCACAAGCATGTTCAGTACTTCACCCTTCACCTCTCTATTCCAACTCACATTTCTTCCAAACGTTGTCATTAAATATTCATTACATAGTTCTCTAGTTGGACACACACACAGAGAGGCATGTGCACTTTCCTTCAGGCTTCCTCTTAAGGTGTGAGTTACTTGGAGAACAACCAAGTTGCTTATTTACTATTCTCTAATGATGTGCCACAGGATGATGTAGGAAGAAGCCTGATGTGCTGGCCCACCTGCCATTTCAGGAGAGAAGGCTCCTGACCAAAAAGGATTACTCGAACTTAGGCAGTGATTGCATTCATACTTTGTGTAATTGTGGGTTTTTATCAGCGTGATGTGCCTTATGGAAATACTGTGCATCTCCCTGCTATTGGGGAATGGCTTATCTGTGGTCTGGAGGCTGCTCTCAGCTTTGCTGACATCCTTTTCTGCTTACCTTGTATGTGAATATTCAGCAACTATGAAGAGGTTCTCCAGGGCTGTTGCAGCACACTCAGCAAAGCCAGTGCACCATCAGGCCTCTGGCATGTTGGAAAAAAACCCCAGAAAGCCAACAACCCTACATCACAGAGCAGTTGTAGAGACCATGGATAATTACACAGGGCAGATCTAGACGAAGAAACACAGGCTGTAATTTCTAATTTCCCAAGCATTACCTGGCATTTTTGGATGAGGGATATGTTATTTGAAAGAGCTGTGTCATTAGCAGTAGAGAGCTGGTGTTTCTGCATCTGGAGCAAGCCTCATGACTCGTCAGGGAGGCTTAACTAGAAGCCAAGCTGCTAATGACAGCAAGTTTGCTCTGTCTGGAAATGAGCTACACCAGGTTGTAGGAAGATGTGCCAACAGCAATCATGTCAGCTGCCAGCTCACAGGTGATGGCAGCATAGGATTTGACAGTGGAAACCTATCCATAGATTCCTGATATAACAAAGCAGACCTGAAACAGATGGATTACAGAGAATAAAATCCTCCAGAAGCATTGAAGATAGTGGTGGCATAGGGACAACTGTTGGATTCATAAAGAACCAGAAAATTCAAGATGCATTACAGCTTTTTTCCACAAGGCTTAATGTGGAAGAGCAAATAGTAGGGAGAATAGTTTCAGATAAGGTTTTGGCAGTGGCACCTACAGTGGTGTGAGAACCATTACTCTCTAAAGATGTTTGTTTTGCAACAAGTTGAAACCTTGTGCCCTAGGAATGTTGTTGCAGGGATGTCATGTCTTGCAAGGTGTTACTATATGAAAACAGTAGTAAACACTGGAGAAAAACAAAACTTGGAAACTTGAAGCCAAATCTCCACAAGTATTTTCATGCCAGCTCTAGAAACTGTGCCTTTGGAAAAGCACTTCCCCACCATCCTATGGAGGAAACTTGGACTAACACTTAGGTAAATTAATTTTATTTAAGAATAAAAAAAACCTCAATTCATATTCTGTTTTTCATTCAAATACTTTGTTGTATCTTCACATTTTGGACACTAAGTTTGTACTTAATAGCTGTTCACCATCTTTAGTGTAACAATTGGTACCAATAGATGCTGAGATGGTCACGGGTAAGGAGGAGGCTGTGCTGCATGCCATGGACAATTTTTGTTTTTTGGTTAAGGCTTTTGTTGTACTTTCTTCTTCTTTAAAAATATTTCTGTGTTCTGTCTGTGCCACCATGTGTAAAAAAAAACCCTTAGCAATATCCTTCTGGTGCAGAACAAGCTGCCACTCCCATCAGGATAAAAAGAGGTAAAGATTGGTAAAGTCTTCAGTAGTTTGAGGATCTGCCTAGATTAACTATATTCATGTTTGTTCTTCCCAACAGGAAGAATGTTTCAATGATCTGGGAAACCAGCTGTTGGAAACAAACAGAAAAGGATAAAGACCTGTGTATTGGCCAGTTGGGACACGAGTGGACTTTCCAGTGAAATATCAAATACAACCCATACACTTGAAGAGCTGAGAAAGGTTAATGCTGTCTCTAAGTCACTGTTAGACCACTGAGTCTCTGTCTGTTCTGATCCTTCTTATTCAGAGAATGATGAATTCACAACAGGAGCAGAAAAGGCTAAGATGATCATCAGTGACCCAAAATCTCAGTTTCAGAAGAGGTTGGCAGAGTGTGACTTGTCTAACACAACAAAGCCAGGAAATCACAGTGTTCCATAAATTTAAGTACAGTCTAGGAAAGGCGTCCCTGTTTGTGGTGGGCAGACTAAAGCTACACGATCTTTAAGGTCCCTTCCAAGCCAGGCCCTTCTGTGATTCTATGAAAGGAGATAAATACCAAGAAGGAAGGACTTTTTCCACTAAGAGACAGAGTTAGAGCAGGTAGTTACAAACAAATAAAGCACAGCTTTTTGGCCAGCCTCTTCTGAAAAAGGTTTATTGCTCGTTCATGAGAGACAGTTGCTACTCACCCCAATTCCTTTGGGAAAGCAATCTGTTTATGCTTCCAAAAGCCATCAGGCTAGAATTTAAGTGGTTGAATTGTTTAGCAAATTCACCCATTGCTGAAGCAGTTTTAGCCATGGATGGAAAGGTGTATGCTGGCCTGCACAAACTCAGAGCACAGAGGACTTTCCAGATTTTTAACTGCCAAGTTCACAAATATTCAGAACAATCACCTTGTTTCTTTACTCAATATGCATTTCCTTTGCTGGCTGAGCACTGCTTAAATATACCAAAGCCTTTACTCACACAAGCATGCAGGAACCACTTGAGGGAGCAGCTTCATGTGAGGGCCTGCTTTGGATTTGACACCAAATGCCTGGTCCCTCGAAAAAGCTCTGTGACTTGGTTGAAGCCACAATAGCTCCCCACACAAATGCTCTGGCAAACCATTTTGCAAAAAAAAAGTTTCCCTAGAGGTCAGCATACCAAAGAAGATGACACCAGAAACAGAATTCACACTGCTTCTGCTGCAAGAAATCTGTCATCCTTCAACTGCCCTCACAGCTGCTGCTCTTGGGGTGGCTGCTAACTCTAAAAGTGAACTAAAATCATTCATGCTGTGAGCCACTCAAATTTTGGGGTGAAACCTAACGTTTTTATCAACTTGATAGTGCCTGGGAAGATGATATGGCAACTCTAGACCTAAAGTAGA